TAATAACAAGAAATAGGGATCTCTGTTGTGTTTTGTGTTTCCTTTTCGTCTAGTAAGAAAAACGAAAACAAGAAGAATTTAGTGAAAAGTATTTCGTGGAGCATCATTGGTGTTGTCAGTCGATCCCTTTGCCAGTGAACTTGCACGCCCTCTGTAGAAGGGTTCAAAGTTTCCTTCACTTGTGTAGATTTTGGTTTAAATTTATCACGAGGAAGGTAACTGGGATCATAATAGAGCAAAGAGATGGAGAGCAGCATTATGATCGCGAACATTACATCAACCCAGGTGCCGATGTTTACCCAGTACCGCCCATGTGGTGTGGTGTATACAAAAGCAGAGATACATGATGTTGCCAAGTTTCTGCCCAGCCTTCGGACACTCTACTCTCCCTAAATGCAGTATCGTGAGGGGTTTATCTTTTTTACTGGATGATCAAAAAAATGTGTCAGATCATTCACAAGGGAAAAAAAATCATTACAGCGTGATACGATTTCCCCTGATTTCACTCTTTTTCTCCACCGTAACAAACTCCTCTGACTCTGTTCGCGTTTTAAACTTGGCCATCCATTTGGCACATTATAACGGCTGAGATGAAAGCCATCGTGGCCACGGTGATAAGACGAATCGGGGCCTTCTGTTTGGTAAAATTACAATTGGACGAGTATAAAAAGGAACTCGCAAATCTGCAGGTGGGAAGTAGAGATTTTCTTGATTTCAATTCCATTCTGTGTAATTTTTTCTCCACGATTCTTCTACAAAATCAAGATAGCTAGCCACATTCAAGGGAGAGGGTGCGGAATGGGAAGGAAAGAACAGGGTTGAGTAACGGTTTTGTAAGATCTGGGCTATGATTGAAGATGAGACGAAGATAAAAGTATCATAGTGAATTAAAGCCCAGCCCATACTGGAAGTACCCGAGGCCATCCTGGGAGGAACGTTTTCTAAAGCTCCTCTCTAGAAGTTTGGATGCTGCCTCTCCCGTGGATAGAAGCCTGAGACCTCACTCTTCGCTTTCCTTCTTGGCAACAACAGCCTATCCAGTGCATTGCCGAACTAGATATGGCTCTAACGGTCTCATTTCCTAGTCACTTTTTTCAAATTCCACACAGCGTAGAGACATCAGATATAATAGCACCGTCTCAATTCATCATCTGTTTTTTTTTTTACTTAATATATTAACTAGGAGTTCTCCGTGATAATTTAGGTGGTAGATTTTCCTTCATATCTCATTGTCTAAATCTTCAAACAAGAGTTCTCCATGTGTGATTTTGTGAAAAATCCTCTTCCTGATTTTTCCTTCAGAAGGTTGTGGGGCTTATATTCAAACTCTGTAGATGATTCTGTGTCCACTCAGCCCCGTCATCGTTTACATCATTAGATCCCTCATGTCTTTCCAGGGTTGTCATTGTTTTTTTTTTTGTGTTGTTAAAGCTGTGAAGCAAAAAGCTCGTGGCCGGAACTCGTCTGATACACGGTGAGTGCTACCGTTGCGATTATGAAGAAACACACCTTCGTCAACCCGAAAAATCGTTGAGGATGGGATGGGCATTCCTTTTGGATTACTCTTGCGACAAAGTGTTGGTCTGGCTTGACAGGAAAGGCATCGTCGTCAAAACTCCGAACATCAGCTCACACGATAACTCAGGCAGTCGCTTGCTGCAAAGAGTAACTGATGTTGAATAAGGAACCTCTTTGTGAAAAGGAAGCTAAGCCTGTCTGGAATCGTGAAGAAAATGTTTGGCGGGTCAACAGAATTCAGTATGACTATTAAAAAAATCAAACCTTTAGTAAATCATCTGTTGGTTGTCGATTGAGCGTCTGTACTTTTGCCCCCATGTCAGCTATGCATAATTCAGTCTCCAGACAGTACAGGCGCATTCTCCACCGAGTAGCTACGGACGCTTGGCAGGGGCAGGGTTCCTGCTGTTTTGTACGGAGTGATGTGTGGGTGCGGGCAAAGTGGTGAGTTTTCTTAGTTTTTAAAAAACCCTATTATCTTCGTCCTCACACTTTTCAACTTAATTGATTATGACTTTGATAAATTTCTCAAGTTTAAAGTCCAAAGGATTTACAGTTGGTTCTTTCAGTTTCTCGTCTCAGAAAAGTATCAGTATCTTAGTTTCCGCAAATTTTCATCCATATAGAGAGGGTGGAGTATTCACCCAAAATCTGATCTAAATGTACATATTTTCTTCCCTAATTTGGGCCAAAAGTTTATAGTTTTCTCTCGACCATGCGGCGTTGCCCCAAATTTTACTGAGGTTTAGTCCAAAATATGTCGATGTGTGGACTGGTTCGATGATATTATCCCTGTGGTGCGAATCCCCAAACCCCAATTTCATACCCATACTGGCAATGCATAGCATTCTTAAATGGCATAAAAGTTTCTGAATGTTGTAAATGCTCAGATTTTGCAACGACCCATAACATGCCTTTTCCTCAGTTCACTGAAAGAACCCCTCTATCGGTCTCATTCATCAGCGTTCTTCGGGTGACACAGAAGCTCGGAGGAATGTACAACGAAGATTCGTTTTGTGGAAGACGGAGTTTCTCTACTCTCACAACCTTTATGGTTTTCTATGCTTTCATGAACAAGATCCAGGGCGTCAGATAATAAAGCAGGCTTGATCTTATCAATTACCTCGAATTACGACACGCTGGAAGTTATCCAAAATTACTAACTCATATTTTAGTCACTCCATCTGATTAAGTACTGTAAATATATAAAAAAAAAATAGTACAATATTCTGATTATTTTCGCTTCCTCTTTTCCCACTCGCCTGATCAAATAAGAAGATCGGGTGTGGGAAGGAGAAAACGCTCCGTCGGCCCAAAGCCTGAGCCGTCACATCTTCTCTTATGGCAAGTCTAACGGGGAGCGAAAGAGCGTTAAGAATAAGAGTAGTTTACTATTTTAATAAATTATTGCAACCTCCGATTCTTTCCCTCCAAGGGCAGAGATTCTGGATGATTGTTTAAAATACGACAAAGCATGTTGAAAAACACTTCTTCCACAATCTAGCTTGGCCGTCACAGCTAAAGATAATTCTAGGAGTATCTTCAAGCGTGTTGACACGCGTACGAGCTCAAAAATAATGGGAGTTAGATCGCGACGCCTCATGAAGTAAGTGACAAAAGGGCAGATGCAGATCGCGACTACACGTTGACACCAATAACAGAGAAAGATTTCCTTTGTCCATTTATCAGTCCAGAAAAATCAACCAATGTGTTCTTCAAAATAGTAAACGTCTTCACCGTGGAGCAATTTTTTGATGTTCAAAATTTTATAAAATTTATCAGTTCAAAATTTTTTGATGAAGTAATCTTGTTATCTGCGATCAAGAAACATTTTATAAAAATTCAAGTCCGACATCTACCCACTTCAAATTTGTACTCATCCGGAGGATTTCCGGTTTTCCTCCATCGTAACTGTCTCTTACTTCTACTGGAAATATTCCACTTACCATCGCTTAGATCTGCTTGACATGTTCCCATTCGACCGGGTTAATTAAGCTGTGTTATTCTGCAAGCCTAGATATGGTGAAAAACCCATGACCGACCATAACATGCCGTATGCCAGAAAGTGGTCGCTAAGCAAGTTATTATGGGGTTTCAAGCATCAAGACTTCTGGATAAACCTACGAAAAAATACCCCGGCATGGCCGACCGGTTCAAGAAAAGGTTCGGGTCGGGAATTAGCTTTCTTACGAAGCTATTTTATTGGCTGAGTTTGAATTAGATCCCAATTCATAGTACAACCCGGCTCAACCCAGCTCTTTACTCGTCTTGTAATACATCTTACCGGTAGGATTAAAAACAAGTTCATGTAGATTACAGAATCTGATGCAAGCCCACCGTGTAAGTTTTCCCCCATAAAGAGAGAGAACAAAGAAGAGTAAGCTTCGTCACACTTTTCTTTATCTGATTCAATAACTAACTGAATTGAATGCGGTATTGACCCGCGAGGTCAATTTCTACTACCATCGTTTCTGTATTAAGAGAAAGCCGTGACAATGTGGTTTCTTCACATCCTGGACCATGTGGCAAATTTCAATAACCATAGAACTCTCCTCTGTCCACAACCTGTCGCATTAGTAGACCCCTCGGTTTGTTCGTCGACGGTCATCAGTCGTCAACCAGACGGCTTTCCCTCTCCATTTCATTCAGGATGAACCGAGCCATGCCTGAGACATGCTTTGACTCGAGCACTTCTGTACATTCCGTCCTCAGAATATAATAAGTATAAAAAAGTATTGCAAGGATCGCAAACCGAAAGCTGTGTGTACATGTATTCTCAAACAATATTACTATTCGTGTAGTCTCATACATGTCTCTAGATTTCAGATGTTAGAGTAGTGAGTCATTTCTCGCTTGAGAACATAATTTTGATAAAGCAGGAGGAATATTAGTCCATGATTATGATAGAAATTAAATCACGTTGGGCTCTCTTTTCCCTTCGAATCGAGCTCACTAATAAATTTACATTTCTCGGAACTACACGCGTGGATTCAATTAATGGTCGTACCCTTCTAATAAATAACTAAAAGTCGTCATTTTCGAGACAATTCGACTTGAACTTTTTTCGCAGTTTCTTTTAGCATCCTCATTTTAGTTACCACTCATGGAATTAATATATTAATGGGGCGCTGTCCCATGGATTACCAGAAAGGGTTATAGCTGCAACAGGAGACTGCTGAACCCGGCTCAAAGTTTGCCTCACACCTCAGACAGACTGGAACACAGTTCTCTGCAGTATGACCAGGCTCAATGCAGGGCCAGATTTGTCTCAACAAACCTCCCCTCCTGCAGAGACCCATTTTTCCTAATAACCTAACCAGTCAACCAATAAATACGATGTTTCACCTTCTATTTGTTCGCACCATTCATTCGTTATCATATACCATGGAAAGGAACATCACATGAAGAGACATAAAAATCTCCATGATTTGTTAGTCACCGCGTCATCAGCGATCCTATCTCATTCATTCATTCTTCACGTTCTAGCCAATCGAGGGAGTTTTGGCCATGATGCCGTGATCGTCGAACCGCACCTGTACACGCACTCAGCTGGATCGGCACTCCTTGTTGTCTATCCAGTCAACATGAAGAACAGTCCCCCCAACGTGACGGTTATCCATCTCGATTATCCTTGCCGCAGATCTACCCTCACTTCCAACGTGTTCCAGCCTCGAGTATTTTCCCTTCCCGCGGCATCCACGCGGTAACCGGGCATCGAAGGACGCAGTACTGGTTTAAAATTTCCACTGTCATAGCAGATGAGTCCCAAAGGATGACCCTGAAAATAGAAACTCGTGAAGAGTTTAAAGCTTTCAGTTGATGAACTAGCAAAACAGCGGAGTTAGAACAAAAATATTTGTCATGCTGGTGACTAAAATATGGATTTTTTTAGAATTATATGCGCTGTTCACCCAGAAAAAATTATTTCTAGCAATCTCGGCTCAGTGTCGCTGAGACCAAGGTGATCTGCTACACTCGTTGCCTTTTTCGTGAAAAAAAGGCTGTGCAAATCCAAGTCCGTATGAAACTTTGATGAACGAGACAGACTCAGAGATGGCTGATAGTTTTGGTCTGGATCTAGAAAGATGGGAACCAAAGTTGAAAATATTTTACGATCAGTCGCTCTTCCTTTCAGAATAACTTCTGGTAACGCGAAGATCCGATGAGTTTACCACAAGAGTCCTATTCTTGGTGATGATTGACAGTCAATGAACGCCGTGAGATTCATAATACGACAGCGTTATCCAGTCCGATAGACTAACGCAGGTCGCTATTTCCTCCATGTTCTCACTTTGGGGCTTCAGAAAGCCAAGATACAAGGAAACGCCAAGCCGCTTGTCCAATTGTGTGAAGTCTCTTCCCCTTTCCACAACTTTGAAATACTTCGGGAACCCTCAACGTTCCCTCTTGTCCATCGCCGTCTGAGAAATGGTTCACGCTAAGAGGACCCTCGTGGCGTAATAAATCTCTGTGATCAACAAGATGACAACTTAGGAAAGATAAAAGGGACGAAATAACCGCGCCAGCACAAACGAGGATCTACTGCCGTGACGCTGTGCGACGGTGAGAAGAAATAAAACTGAAACAACTTCGTCTTCCTGGCCAAAGCTTCACGCTAAGAAAAAAAGGAATCGAGGAATATTTAATGTTGAATCTGCCCAAACACCATCATGTCGTTTTCAACAAAGGAAGTTCAGCCTTGAAAATTACCAATTTCCTCGAACCGCATCGTATCTTTTAACAGCTCCCCTTTAAAAGATTCCACGTACTCCGCTTCAGACGACATTTTCCCGTCAAAGCAGGGCAGCAATAAATTCAAACAAAGTTTTTAGACGGGGTAGCGATTTCTGACCTGGCGACGTTGCTTGCCAGAGATTTTGTGCGCTGGTTCTTGTGAAAGAAACTGAGAGCAAAAAGTTGACCGGCTGACCAATTTGAGGCCTCACGTGAAACTTGGAGTGGAAGAAATTCCGAACCATCTGGTCGAGCGCATAAATTTTTCAAACATTAGCGCGTATTCAGTTTTTTCCTTGTTCTGCTTCATGGTAATCAAAAGAGAGGAAGAAGTCCCTTTCTTCATTGACCTTTGTGGTAACAACTCCACCCAGAAAAAAAATATATTCGAACAGGGAACACTAGTTCCTTCCTGAACTCTGACCACGCAAAGATCACACAAGCTTCAAGATGTGAGCGAAACCATTGTTTGCTTTTCACGTCCACCTCCCAAATGACGTGTCCAATGTTTCTCGCACAAGGCAAAAGTCCTTAATATTGACTACTTCGCCAGAAACGTTTTCTTCCATGGGCCGTCTCCTGCTCAATGCAGTCTCGAACAAGGAAATCCAACAAGAACAGTTTTCTCCGATAGTGCTTTTGCTTGTTAACCCTTCCGAGCTCTCCTTGTTGATCGTGGACCATAAATACTGCAAGAATCGTTTGTATTCAGCACCATACAGAAATTCCTGCACTTCCAGAGACGAAAGAAATAATGGGGGACTGCGAAGGTAACGAACGTATTGATCTTTTTTGAGTCAACCACTCTATAAGCTGGAGTCCGCTTCCTGATTTTCCTTCATACCGCTTGTGGTGCTTCTATCCATTTTCTTTTGAACACAACGTACATGATTTTGAGCTCAACCATGTTAACGTTAGAGGTCACCAGATGTGTCATGTCTTTCCTGGAATAACACTATTTATAACTACTTATTGTTGTTCTGCCCGTCATGTCTCAACTGCGAAGGAAAGAGCTCGTGGCCGGAGCTAGTCGGCTACACGGGGATTCATGCTGCTGCGATAATCGAGAACCAGAACCATCTCGTCGATGCAATAATCGTCAAGGAAGGATCGAGCGTTCCTTTAGACTACCGCTGCAACAGGGTGTGGGTTTGGGTGAACAAGCTAGGCATTGTCTTCAAAACCCCGATCATCGGCTAGCACATTAACTTAGCCTGAGGCTGTTGCTAAAAGTAGGTTACTGATGTTACATAAAGGGGCCTCCTTGTGATGAAGAGGCGTACATCTGTATGTTATGGTGAATAAAACATATCTCTGGTCTGGAGTGGCTTACTTGTCTTACAGTTTAGCTGCTTTATCTGTCTCTGGTTTTATTGCCGGTTGCCGACTTGTTCACAATTAGATGAAGAAAGACATCCGCGTGGTCAACAGGCGAAGTCTGGTTCGTAACACTAATGAGTTAATCTCTATTTAAGGCATGCTCACGTTAACGCTAACTAAACCCCATCGCCGCTGGCTGGTTTCCCTGATGAGGACCTCCAAATAACTACGTCGAAGAAAAAGTGGCACCCTAGGCGTCAAGATCCTCAGTAGGAGAGGCCTGGCTGGTTTCGGGAATCAGCACTTTGTCAACCAATGGGGGGCGCGGACCTCATACTTCAACATCAAGCCGTCTATCTCCGTATTCTTTGACCGTTCTCATGAAGTTCCCACCTTTCCTCCCGTAAAACTCCGCGGCCACACGACCCGGGAGGGGCCTCAGCTCTTATCTATTCATTGCAACTCTCCACGAATTTATAATAAATACAGCAAGAACACTCACCCCACCCTTATCCCTCACCTTCCCTGGTGCTACATGCGAAAGGTAGATGATAATGGACGATGAAGATATCGCGTGCACAGGTACGAGGTAATGTCTGATTCCCCTTCATCTCCCTCTCACACCTCACGTCATCAGCTGTTCCTCGAGCTAATTTTAATATATTCAAGTTTCACTGAGGATGTGAAGGGAAGAGCTCGTGGCCGGAGCTCACCGGAGCCCCAGGGACAGTGGCGGTGACCATAATCAAGCGGGAGAATCCTCTAGTTAAGCCAAGAATCGTAAAGGAGGGGACGTTTGTCATCCTCAACTTCCTGTAACAGGGTCTGGGTTTGGGTGAACAAGAGAGGCATCGTCACCAGAACCCCGAGGATCGGATAGAGTCTGATGTGAAGTTAATAAGAGAGGCCTGGTGATGTTTCAATAAACAAGGATATTTATAGCGTGTATTTTCATATCTTCGTATACCACTTCGTTTTCTCGTGTTTATACGTTATTTCTGTGAAGAAGAAACAGACATGGAATCCCTAAGAACTCTCGGAAAAATGCCTGCCCGGCATAAAAGTCCGAGGCCAGATCAGCTATCCTACGAAGCTATTTTATTCCCTTGAGCTTGGATTAGACGATGTGACACATCTCACCGGCAGAATTACCAAACAGTTAATCTAGATTACCGAGTCAGATGCAATCCCGCAGTCAGCATATCAATTCACCCTCATAAAGTGAGGGAATAAAGAGGAGTAAGTTTCACGATTCTTTCCATTTCCCGTTTCGTTAGTTACATCAGATGAATCGGCTCCTGACCCTCATCCCAAATTCTTCTCCATTTGATAAAGCCACTGGCATATGTAACGCCGAGGACCATTTCTTCAATAACCATCTTTTCTGTATTAATAAATTCACATGTCGAGAGGGTTTCTTCACATCCTAGGGGATGTGCGAAGCTTCAACAACGATAGAACTCTCGTCCTTCCACACCCTGTTGCAGCGGTAGACCTTCCATTAAGTCTCTCCACGATGATACAGCGGCAACCATAGGGCATTCCCTCTCGACTACATACTAAGTGGAGCGAGCCATGGCTCTGGCTCGAGTACTGTGCATTCGCTCAGAATAATCGCAAGAATTTCAAACTGACAACTGTGGAACACTCAAAAGAGTATTACAATTCGTGTAGTAGCATAGGTGTTTCTAGATTTCACCACTGTCTAACAAGCCATGTCCTGGTTATAGTACACAGTCTTGATAAACTAGGAGAAAACTTTTCTCCATGGTGGTGATAGAATTTAAATCACGTTGGACTCCATTCTCGATTTGAATCAAGCTCACTGACGATCGCAACAAGTTATACAGGGTTATTTATACACTTCTCCTAACTAAACGCGTCGACTCAATTAATTGTCCGTACCCTTCCTAGAAATAACTAACAGCTCGTCATTTTCAAGATAATTCTATGATATATGAATTCGACATGAATTTTTTCGTCGTTTTTCTAGCATCCACGTTTTAGTTTTCTCTGTTGGAAATTAACACAGCTCCAACCCGTCAGGGTGATTAAATTAATGGTTATGAGTCGCTGTTTCATGGTTACCAGACAGGGTCATAGCTGCAACAGGATACTGCTGAACCTAGATCTAAGTTTGCCTCAAACTAGCCCTCTATCAGATCGATTAGAACACGGTTCTGTAACTTATGACCAAGTTCAATGCAGGGCCACAGACGTCTGAGAATACCTCCTTCCCTCCAGCAGTGAGTACGAACCCATGTCCCATGCTTCACATGCTATTTGTTCGCGTTATTCATCCGTTATCTTATACCATAGAAAGCAGCATCACATGTAGAGACAAAAGGGCTGTGCAAATGAAAGTCCGTATGCAACGTTGGTGAACAAGAGAGGCGCATGGTTTGCTGATAATATTCATCCTGGTCATAAGACCACAGCCAAAAAATATTTTACAATTAGCCGCACTTCTTGACACAACTTGTGTTACACGAATAACCGATAACTTTACGCGAAGAGTCCTATTCTTCGTGATGCTTGACAGTCAATGAACGCCATGAGATTCATAATACGACAGCGTTATCCAGTCCGATAGACTGACGCAGGTCGCTATTTCCTCCATATGTTCCCACGTGGGCCCTCCAAGAATCCAAGATGCAAGGAAACGCCATGCCGCTAGTCCAATTGTGTGAAAGACTCTTCCCCTTTCCACAACTTTGAAAATACTACGGGAACCATCAAACTTCCCTCTCATCCGTCGCCCTCTGAGAGGTCGTTCCTGCCAATAGGAGCATCCGGGAGTAATAAATCTCTGCGGTGAACAAGATGACAACTTAGGGAAGACAAAAGGGACGAAGTGACCGCGCCAGCCTACACGAGTCTCTACTGCCGTGACACTGTGCGACGGCGAGAAGGAATAAAACTGAAACGACTTCGTCGTCTTGGCCAAATCTTCACGTTTAGAAAACAAACCATGCAATACTTCGGTTCGAATCTGCCCGAACACCATCGTGTCGTTTTCAACAAAGGAAAATCAACCTTTAAAATTACCAGTTTCGTCGGATCGCATTATATTTTTTAGCTCCTGCCGTTGAAAGTTTCTACGTATTCCGTATTTAGATGAAAGCTGCTCGTCAAAGACGGGATAGCAATAAATCCAACCAATGCTTTCAGACGGGGTGGCGACTTCTAACTAGAAACATTTCCGACCTGGCGATGTTGTTTGCCAAAAATTTCGTGCGCTGATTCTTGTGCAAGGAACTGAGAGTAAGAAGCCGACCGGCTGACCTATTTGAGGCCAGACGTGAAACTTAGAGCAGAAAAAATTCCGAACCATCTAATCGAGTGCATAAATTTTTCAAACATAACCGCGTCACTCATATTTTTCCCTCGTTTTTCTGCATCATGGTGATCAATGGAGAGGAGGAAGTCCATCTTTCCCTTGACCTTTGTTATTGGTAACAGCTCCAGCCCGAAAAATTGTTTTTCAAGCAAGGAACAATAGTTCCTTCCCCAACCCTGACCGCGTAAAGATCAGATAAGCTTCAAGATAAAAGCAAAACCATTTTTTACCTACCTCCCAAAAGTCAGATGCTATTTTTCTTGCACAAAACAAAAAACGTTCTTATTGTCTACTTCGATAGCAACCTTTTCTTGCGGGTCGTCTCCTGTTACGTGCAATCTGGAACTCGGACATCCCACAAGAATAGATTTCACACATGGTTGCGTGGCTCGTCAACCCTTCGGGGCTCTCCTTATTGATGGTCGACTATAAATACTGCAAGGCATCTCTGATTCATTCGCATTCACCACCAATACAGAATTACCTGCACGTTCGGAAACGAAACGAATAATGGGGGACTGCAAAGGTAAGGAACGGGTTGATCTTCTTTGATTCAGCCAAACTATTTGCTGGAAACCGCTTCCTGATTTTCCTTCAGAAAGTTGTGGTATTTCGATTCATTTTCTTTTGGGCACAACGTAGATGATTCTGAGCTAAACCACGTTCACGTTACGGGTCATCAGATCTGTCACGTCTTTCCTGAAATGACTCTACTTATGCGTGCTTATCGCTGTGTGTGGCATGTCTCAACTACGAAGGGAAGAAATCGTGGCCGGAACTCGTCGGTTACAGGGGGACCGCCGCCGCTGCGATAATCGAGTACCAGAACCCACATGTCGATGCAATAATCGTCAAGAAAGGGACGATTGTTACTGCAGACTTCCGCTGCGACAGGGTGCGGGTTTGGGTGGACGAGGGAGGTATTGTCTACATAACTCCGATCATCGGCTAGCACGTTAACTCATCCTGAGGCTGTTGGGTGAAACAAGTTACTGATGTCAAATAAAAGGGCCTCCTTGTGATGGGGGCCTACTGATGTTATATTTCTATGTTATGGTGAATAAACTTGCCGCGCATTGAGCTGGTTTGTATGTCTTTGGTTCTATAGATTTTTTGTTCTGGCTGGTTCAATAATACTCCTTACCCTGGTAAATTTTCTGGACCAACCGAACCAGAAGCTTCCCATGCTCATGCATTACTTTTCTAGGAAGAGACTAACGCCCAGGGGCTAACGTGGGCTCCTCTAAAGGACCAGCTGGTTTAGGTAAATTTCTAATGCGTTCCTCATGCGTTTTTGGGATCTCAGTGCTCATTGCCTAGAACCTCAAAGACGTCCAAATGGGATGAAAGGACTGTTCTTCCACAACCGCGAGAATGCCAATATTAGCACTGATGATACCACAACGTAACTCACTATTCAAACAACTGTTCAGAGGCCTAAAGCACCATATAAGGCTTGTTGGAAAACTCATTTTCGGACTTGATTAATCGTTATTTCTTGTTCAAAAAGAAGGGTTTATTTTAATAGTTTTCTGATCGTTACAAATTGTCAGAAATAGAATTAATTAAAAAAAAAATCTCGTTCTATCTGGCAGTATCAACTTTTACTCGACATTCGTTGGCTTTTTCAAGCTGTTCAATCGCTGCTTGACGTAACACCTATGAGATTCGAGTAGTACTCAAGATACTCTGTTTTATATTATCTAATAAATCATTTTATGAAAGTACTTGGGCATACTATTTAGGCGGAATGACTTTGCCTATTATTATTAGAAAACTGAAGGAAACATCAGAAATAGGGGGAAAGCGAGGAAAATGAGTAAGAACGCGACAAAGGAAGAACTTTGGAACAAAAAGAAACTAAGCGGGACGAAGAGGGATCCACCGAAGAAAACCTTCATTTCGGTTCCGAAGAAAAATAAAGATCTAAAAATAAATAAATGAAAGAAACAAAATTCCAGCTAATGGAAAATAAAAAGGATGAATTATTTTCGTAAGGGACATACAATAAGGACAGCGAATTTTTGCGCAGACTCTTATCTTGATAGGTATCAAGAACATGCACTTTGGGAATTAGAACCTAAATAGGATAAAAATCCGTTTTGGTTTGAAAAACGCCTTATTCCTCTTCTTTCTTAAACGCGTGTTCAAGGGTTGGGACCTTTTACAGATGGGTCCACTGTTTTCCTACCTTGAGAAGATCAGTCCCGGCTTGATACGTAGGTCAAGTCTACAAAGCGGCATAATATTTTCTTATCAATTTATTTCCATTTGTAACTTTTTCAGATTCAATTAAATTAGCGCCAAAATATGAGTACTTATTTATATAAAATATTCCAAGAGGAAATATGATTTAAACTTCGTACCATTCTAACTAATATTCAAGTGAAAATCCCCGCTTAGCAGCCCAAAGACGTGACGCCACGATTAGTGTGCCTCGTCATCTGATCTGGACTACCATGGACGTCTCAAATGAGGCGACATCATCCCCAACGCCGTATCTCGTCCGTTGACATTGCAGTTCCCCGTATCAAACAGATCTTAACATTCGCACGGAAGAAATAGTCTTCCTTGAACTGTGGAACTGTTTAAAGCATGCTAATTGTCGAAAGCCCACCTTAATCCTCATATGTTCTAGTGCGGGTATGTTACGTGTTCAGGGGAGAGCTAGTGCCCTGAAGTCCTCAGAGAATCGGGAAGCACCGCCCAGCGATAATCGAAGATCCCTCTCACCGACGCCATCGTAGAGAAGTTGGCCTCAACCTTGGAGGACTTACCGCTGCAACAGGGTGTGTGGTTGACAATTACGATATCGTCGGAAAAAAAACACAGATCGCCTAGCACTGTGAACTCTACTCCAACCAGACAGACGATAGCAGAATAGAAACCATGGTTGTTGAAGAAAGGAGTGAAACCATTTTACTTCCTGGGCTTATAATGCCTAATTTTTTTCGTCCGTCTCTGCACATCTGAATTCTATAGAATTCAATAAAAACAAATAAATAACCATGAGGATCGTTTCTCATGCAGGGAGTAGAAAGACGGCTCCTTTTCGACATGAACCTTAAGAAAAAAAATTATATGAGAATACCAGATAGAAGCTTCGTAACCCCAGGTTACCAATCTTCTCCATGAAAGGGAACATTGTTCTGTAAATCAATACTTCATTGAGTATAATAGAGACTTTTACTTCAAATTGAATCGTAATGTCTTCTTGTTGATATGTGAAGAGGCATAACAGAAAGATATATGCAAGCTAAGTTAATAAACAGTCATGAGGACTGTAACGTACTTATAGTAAGAAGTGGAGTTTAGGTATAAAAAAACTTAAAAGTCTCCATGCGATAGATATTGCTCCTTCTCCGTAATTTTTCTTCAAATTTGGGCCTTTCACATAATTCTGATCTGCTGTGGCGGGCTGCTTTGTCCTCTACTATATTCCACATGGGTGGACATTTCTTAGTAGTCATTAAGTGTATTTCGTGTAAATATGCACGTCCGTGTTGAACCAACTTTTATTCTAACACATAATCTACAGAGAAGAACAACTTGAGAAATTCTAATAATGACACAATTTGAGCTATGCATTCCCTTTATCAATGTGCTCTTAGAACCCACCAATCAGGCATCATCATCCGCTACAAATGAGTCAATCTCTATTTAATGGATGTTCACCTTAGTTCTAAGTGAGCCCCATCGCGATTGGCTGGCTCGTTCCCCCTTATCACGACCTCAGTAAATAACTACGTCGAAGAAAAGTTGCGTCCTCGGCATCATGCTCCTAAACAGGGGAGACTGGTTGGATAGATCGCCGTGTGAAATTATACGGGAATCCGCACCTAGTCAACTCTTGTGGGGTGCGAACCGGATAAACTTCAACGTCAGCCGTCTATCTCCTTATTCTTTGACCATCAACTTATTCTTTGCCATCTTAATGAAGTTCCCACCTTTCTCGCATAAAATTCTGCGGCCACATGACCCGGGAGGAACCTCACCTCTGATCAATTCATTTCAACTCTCCAGGGATTTCTAATAAATACTGTAAGAACACTCACATACCACCCCACCCCCCCCTTCACTCACCTCCCCTGGTGCGGCATGCGAAAGGCAGACGACAATGGGGGACGAAGATATTGGGTGCACAGGTATGAGAAAGCGTTCGCTTCCCTTTGATCTCCATCTCACAGCTTACCGTCATCAGTTGTTCCTCGAGCTAATTTTAATATATTCAAGGTTTCTGCGGGTGTGATGGGAAGAGCTCGTGGCCGGAACTTGTTGGAGTCCCAGGGACTGAGGCCGTGACCATAATCAAGAAGGAGAACCCTCTAGTTAAGCCGAGAATCGTTAAGGAGGGATCGAGCGTCATCCTCAACATAGACTGTAACAGGGTCTGGGTTTGGGTGAACAAAGCAGGCTTCGTCACCACAACCCCGACGATCGGATAGCCAGTGAACATGCCAGAAAACTACACGCTCGGACTCTGAAGTGAAGTCAATAAGAAAGGCCTGATCGTGTTACAATAAACCAAGATATTTTTAATGCGTATTTTCATTTCTTCGTGAACCCACTTAATAAGAGATATACGGGAGCCTCAGGCTCCGCCTGGTGACATCCCGGCTGAACCAGGCCCGGCTAAGGAAAAAAGAGGCATAATAACGCAGGGTCCAGAGATTTCCCTACCGTTCATAAAAGCATACGAGAGTCAAGGAGGAGCTCTTTTGGTCCTACTCTTTTTTAACTCCACAGAAACGCACCAATGATAGTACGATACAAATTACTAAACGAAGCCCATTTGCAGGACTTCTCTAAATGTGGATCTCGGAGTTTTCTCCAAAACCACTCGAAGATAATATGATGAAGACGTCTGATCTGTAATTTGTCTTCAAATGCTTTTAGGACTTCCTTGAAAAAGAATAGTCCTTCAGAGAATTGAAGAATCCACTACTTCTAGTCACGGCTACCAGACCCAGAGGGGAAACCCGATAAAGACTATGAATTCGTTAGAGATTCATCACCTCTCCGCTTCTGAATATGTATGCGAAAATCACTGATCATGAGAATCCGAAAGTCAAAGAATGCTGATGTTCCATTACTTTAATCACTGCCAACGAATTTTCTCTACTCAGCCAAACCCTTTGAGAAACACATCATTCTTTCTCGAGCTCACGAACAAGTCTGGAGTCCACTGATCGTATAGGTACACAAGAAACTTTATCATTCCTTCCATTTATGGAGGACGTAGACAGTAGAACAACCTCCTTGTCTATAACTGTCTCTAGTAAGCGATTCTAAAATTGATAGTCATCATTCAGATTGGAAAGCCTCAATAATTCTAAAACTTTATCCCTATTGGCAACATTTCGACCAGCTCCCCAGCCAGTTGCAGTTGCAGCACCCACTACATTTGCCAGAGCTAGCATCTCGATCTCCGGCATATTCTGCAGATAACCAAAAGCAACTGCTACAGTAAAGTTGTCTCCACAACCAACCGTGTCGAGTCATTGACCTGATGAATACATTCCACACAGAAAAAGAGATAATGATCATTTTCAATTATACTTCGAACCATTAACAGACGTAGCAACACAAACCTTAGTTACTAAAACTAATCCTGGTGAGCCTATTTTAATGATGACCCAGTTTGTACGAGCTGCTTGACTGATCAATTTTTGCCGAGTCAGAATCGGACTTGGAAGCCCAGTCAGTGCTTCAGCCTAATATTTGACATTTATCACAAAGAGCATTCAAAGATAACTAACTCTCAAGTTATATCCATCAAGGATGTTATTTACTGCGAAGTTGATTTTATCAATCAAAAATCAGAAATGGGAACCGACCATAAAAAATCATTCGCGTCTCCATCGCATGGTAATTTTGACATACAATTACTCATTAACAATGGCGGGCATTGATTGCTGGGCAAGGTTTAGGATTTAAAGTTGTAATTCTGGCACACTAAATCAAATTTCTCTAGGAACATCCATATATTTGGGAACCTAGTTTCTAAAGCTCGACCATTGAGGCTGAGAGCTTAAATAATCCACCATCAAGTATGTTTATTTAAAAGAAAGCTTGCTTAGAATCCCCCAAAAAATTCCATGAATATCGTGGTAAATGCAAAAGGCTGGCCGAAAAAATGGGAACGGGAAAAAATGAATAAAAGGAATAATTTCATAAGGCGTCATATAATGGACTTCCAACAAATAAATAAGATCAGATATACTCTACTCTTGTCGAACCTTAAACAAATTGGAAAACATAACCATGTTCCATGAGTTGCTCTCCTGAAATGGAAGTGAAATTTTTCTTCTATTCTTATTTACTCAATATGATGCATCCTCCAGGAATATTGACGACCCTAAGTTGACCTTCTTGGACTTCAAAATTTCAAGTACTCTCAGAAGAAGTTGAACATGGCTGTTCCTAAACGAGTTTACTTTAGAAGTTAACTATCAGAAGGCACAAAGAAAAACAAAATATTCAATGGCTTCTATGTCCACTTCGCGTAAGCACGGCCAGGCATGTTCAAGCTGTTCAGTAGCTTCTTGACGTAACAATTGGGAGTTACGAATTAAACTCAAGTTACTATGTTTTCGATTATCTAATAAATCATTTCATGAAGTACATGTGAAAACTATTTAGGCGGAGTGCCCTTGCCTATTATTACGAGAAAAATGAAGGAAACCTCAGAAACAGATGGAAAGCGAGGAAGCCGAGGAAGAATGCGACAAAGAAACTAAATAGGACGAAGAGGGATCCACTGAAGAAACTTTTCTTTCGGTTCCAAAGAAAAACAAATATCTAAACAAAATAACTGAAACAAACAAAATCCTAGTGCATTGAAAAGAAAAAATAACAAAGGATAAATTCTTTTCTCAAGAGACACGATATAAGGACGGTACATTTTTGCGAAGACTCTTATCTTAATCGGTATCGAGAACAAGAACTTTGGAAATTAGAAACTAAAGAGGATAAAAATCCTTTTTGGTTTGGAAAACCGCTCGTTACTTTTGTTTTCAAGGGCGTGCATCAATGGCGTATTCAAGGGTTGCAACCTTTTACCGATCGACACACCGTTTTCCTATCTGGAGCAGATCAGACCTAGCTTGGTACGTAGGCCAAGTCTACAAAGCGGCATAATATTTTCTTATCAATTTATTTCTCTTTGTACCTTTTGGCAAATTCAATAAAGTTGGCGCCCAAAAATTACTTATGTATATAATTAATTTCAAGACTAAATATGATTTAAACTTCGTACCATTCTAACTAATATTCAAGTGAAAATCCCCCCTTGCAAGCACAAGATTAGTGTCCCTCGTTATCTGATCTGGCTACCATGGACCTCTCAAAGGAGACGACATCATCCCTAGGACCTTACTTCATCCGTTGATATTGCAGTCCCCGTTATCAACCATATCTCAACATTCTCATGTAAGGAATAATCGTTTTCGAACAGTGAAACTGTTTAAAGCATGCTAATTGTCGAAAGTCTACGTCATCCTCATGAATATGCTCGAGGATTAAGCTGCACAGTCTTTTGGTAGAGCTTGTGGAAAGAGTGTGGGTATGTTACGTGTTAAGGGAAGAGCTCATGGCCTGAACTCGTCACAGAACCGGGGAACTCTCTCGTCGAGAGTAAGAGCCCTCTCGTTGACGCCATTGCAGAAAGGTTGGCCTCAACCTTCGAGGACTTACCGCGGCGATAGGGTGCGATTGTGAGTTGACGATTACGATATCGTCGCAAGAACGACATAGATCGGCTAGCGCAGTGAACTCTTCTCCTAACGGACAGACGGTAGCAGGATAGAAACCATTGTTGTTGACTAAAGGAGTGAGTCCATTTGACTTCCTGGGCTAATAATGCCCAAAAAAAATTCTCCGTCTCTGCACATCAGTATTCCATAGAACTCAATAAAATTAAAAATAAATAAGCATTATGATCGTTAATCATGCACTGGGTAAAAAGATGTCTCTTTTTCGACATGAACCTTACGAAAGTTGTTTATATTAGAATACCAGATAGAAGCCTCCTAACCCCAGGTTACCAATCTTCTCCATGAAAGGGAACATTATTCTGTAAATCAAGTATGTAAAATTAATACTTCATTGAGAATAATAGAGATTTCTACTTCAAATTGACTTGTAGTATCTTCTTGTTGATATCTGAAGACAAAGGCATTACAGAGAGATATATGCAGGCTAAGCTAATAAACAGTCATGAGGACTGTAACGTACTTGTAGTAAGAAGTGGAGTTTAGGTATAAAAAAACTTAAAAGTCTCCATGCGATAGATATTCCTCCTTCTCCGTAATTTTTCTTCAAATTTGGGCCTTTCACATAATTCTGATCTGCTGTGGCGGGCTGCTTTGTCCTCTACTATATTCCACATGGGTGGACATTTCTTAGTGGTCATTGGGTGTATTTCGTGTAAATATGCACGCGGGTGAAGAACCAACGTTTATCCTAACACATCATCATCGAGAAGAACAAATGAGTAAAATCTCTATTTAATGGATATGCACCTTAATTCTACGTGAACCCCGTCGCGATTGGCTCGTATCCCTGATAAGGCCCCCCGGAAATAACTTAGTCGAAGAAAAGTTGCACCCTCGTCGTCAACATCCGGGATAGGACAGCCTGGCCGGATAGATCGCCGTGTGGAATTTTCCGGGAATTCGTACTTAGTCAACTCTTGCGGCGTGGACCTGATTAATATCAACATTAATCTCGACCATCTACCTCCTTAATTCTTTGACCATCTCCTTATTCTTTGACCAGCTAAATGAAGTTCCCATCTTTTGTCACTTAAAATTCCGCGGCAACATGACCCGGGAGGTGCCTCCACGGATCAATTCATTTCAACTCTCCCCGGATTTATAATAAATACTGCAAAAACTCTCACGTCCCCCCCCCCCTCCCCCCTCATATATCACCTGCCCTGATGCTGCATGCGAAAGGCAGGGGATAGTTGAGGACGTAGTGTTGGATACAAATTTACGAGGAAACGTTTTCTTTCCCTTCATCTCTCTCTCACACCTCACCATCGCTAGTTGTTCCTCGAGCTAATTTTAATATATTCAGGGTTTCAGCGGATGCGAATTCTCTGATTCGTGAGCTATCACCACCACTATAGAAATACCTGCTCTTGCAGAGACGAAACGAAAAATGGAGAACTGCCAACGTAACGAACGTATTGCTCTTTGATTCAACGTAACTATTACCTGGAGTCCGCTTCATTATTTTCCCTTAGAAGGTTGTAGTGCTTCTATTCATTTTTTTTCGAACACAACGTTATGAGTCTGAGCTCAACCACGTCAACTTCACGGGTCATCAGATATGTCATGTCTTTCCTGAAATAGCTCTCTCTATGAGTGCTTATCGTTTTGTGTGGCGTGTCTCAACTGCTAATCTACTGAGAAGAACAAATTGAGAATTTCTAATAATGACATTATCTGAACTATAAATTTCCTTTATCTATGTGCTCTTAGAACCCACCGATCAGGCATCATCATCCGCCACATATGGTAAAATCTCTATTTAATGGATGTTCACCTTAATTCTAAGTAAACCCCCTCGCGATTGGCTCGTACCCCCTGATAAGGACCTCCGGAAATAACTACGTCGAAGAAAAAGTTGCACCGTCGGCGTCAAGATCTTGGATAGGATAGCCTGATCGCCGTGTGGAATCTTGCGGGAATTCGCACTTAGACAATTCTTGCGAGGCGGCGACCTGATTAACTTCAACATCGACGTCAGTCGTCTATCTCCTTATTGTTTGACCACTTCCTTCCTCTTTCACCATCGCAATGAAGTTCCAACCTTTTCTGACTTAAAATCCGCGGCCACATGACCCGGGAGGGGCCTCACCTCTGATCAATTTGTTTCAACTCTCCACAGATTTATAATACATACTGCAAGAATGTAATGTACACACCACCCCCCCCCCCCCCCCCCCCAACACACACACACCTTCCCTCACCTCCCCTGGTGCTGCTTACGAAAAGCAGACGACAATGGGGGACGTAGATATCGGGTGCACAGGTATGAGAAAGCGTTTGCTTCCCCTTCATCTCCCCCTCAGACCTGAGCGTCACTAGTTGTTGTTCGAGCTAATTTTAATATATTCAAGCATTACTTGGCGCGTGAAGGGAAGAGCTCGTGGCCGGAGCTGGTCGGAGCCCTAGGGACCGTGGCCGTGACCATAATCGAGAGCGAGAACCCTCGAGTTGACGCAGTAATCGTACCGGAGGGGGCGGCCGTCATCCTCAACTTCGACTGTAACAGGGTCTGGGTTTGGGTGAACAAGGCAGGCAAGGTCATCAAAATCCCGATAATCGGATAACCAGGGAAGATGCCACACAACTGCACGGATATGCCTCTGAAGTGAAGTTAATAAGAGAGGCCTGATCGAGTCCCAGTAAAGCAAGATATTCATTTTGTAACGTTTATTTTCATTTTCTTCGTGGGCCCACTTTGTTCCCTCGTCTTTTTACGCTGTTTTTGGTGAAGAAGTAACAGTTGACTGAACCAGGCCCAGCCCAAAGCAAGAAAAGGAACATAATCACGGAGGGTCTAGTGATTATCCTCCCGTTCACAAGAGATGACAAGAAGAAGCAGTCTTGGTCTAGCTTTCTCGAAACTTTTTGAACTCCACAGAGACGCACCGAACAACAGTACGATACAAATTAGTAAACGACGCCCATTTCCAGGACTTCTCTGATCTGTAATCTGTCTCCAAATACAGCCATTTGGGATAATACTTTTAGGACTGCAATGAAAAAGAACAGATCTTTCAGAAAATTGAAACCCTGGTCTCAATGGGTAGGGAAAGATCGAAGCACAAAAATTCCATGGAGAACATCAAAAACTTCAGGAGATGGAGACACCAAGTAAAGCAATTTCAGTAGTTGATTATCTGCAAGCTAAGATGAATGATGGTCACCATCTGCACCACTAACAACATTAACTATGGAGAATGTTTGCTTTATATATATGAATTTCAAGCTTTGCCGCTAATGCTGATTTAATGTATGAACTGCAAGCCTCGTGTGAGGAAAACTTGATCCACCAATCGTATTAAGAGCCTCCCAGTACAATCCTACTTGATTATTTCCCTCATACAAAAAATAAATCCAGATGAAGACCTTGAATTTGTTAAAAAGAATCATCACCTCTCCGCTTCTGAGTATGCAGGCGAAAATCACAGATCATGAGAATCCGAATGTCACAAACAACGCTGATGTTCCATTACTTTAAACACTGACAACGGATTTTTCTCTACTCTGCCAAATCCTTTGAGAAAGCACATTCCTTTTTCTCAAGCTCAAGAACAAGTCTGGAGGCCACTGATCGTATAGGTACACAGGACATATTAGCATTGCTTCCATTTACGGAGGACTTAGACAGTAGAACAACCTCTTTGTCCATAACAGTCTCTAGTAAGTGATTCCAAAATTGATAGTCGTCATTCAGATTGGAAAGCCTCAATAATTCTAAAACTTTATCCCTGTTGGCGACATTTCGACCAGCTCCGCAGCCAGTCGCAGTTGCAGCACCCACTGCATTTGCCAGAGCCAGCATCTCGATCTCTGGCATATTCTGCAGATAACCAAAAGCAATTGCTGCAGTAAAGCTGTCTCCACAACCAACCGTATCGAATACATTGACCTGATGAATACATTCCACACAGAAAAAAGGTTAATAATCCTCTCCAATGATACTTCTAAGCATTAAAAAGACGTAGCAACACAAAACAGTAGTAATTGAAACACAAAAGATATTGTACTAGAACTTAACTAGATCATACCTCAAACGCAGGTGCACAGAATACACAAGACTTGGTTACTAAAACTGATCCTTTTGAGCCTATTTTAATGATGACCCAGTTTGTACGAGTTCCTTGACTGATCAATTTTTGCCCAGCCAGAATCGGACTTGGTAGTCCAGTCAGTGCTTCAGCCTGATATTTGACATTCATCACAACAAAGCAATAAAAGATAGTTATCTCTCGAGTTAGTTGCATCACCGTACGTCATTTACTGTAAAGTTGACTTTATCAATGTAAATTCAGAAAGGAACCGATCATAAAAAGCGATTCGTGTCTCCATTGCTTGGTCGACTTTGACACAGGATTACTTAGTAAACAAAGGAAAGCATTTGATTGCTGGGACAACGTTTAAATTTTTCGACGTCAGTAAGATCTAAATTTGTAATTTCAGCACACGAGATCAAATTTCTCTCGGAACATCCATATATTTAGGAACCTAGTTTTGAAAACTCCACTAGATCGGCTGATAGGTCAAACAAGTATATTCATTTAAAAGAAAGCTTGCTTAGAATCCCCAAAAATTTTCCATGAATGCCATGGAGAGTACAAAAGGCTGGCCCAAAAAACCGGACTGAAAAATTTTGAATAAAAAGAATAATTTCACAAGGCGTCATAGGATTGACATCCAACTAATAAATAAGATCAGATATACGCCAGTCTTGTTCGAGCCTTAAACAAATTGGAAAACATAACCATGTTCCATGAGTTGCTTTCCTGAAACGGAAGAGAAAAACCTCATGTTTTTACGTACTCAATGTGATGCATCCTCCAGGAATATTGACGCCCCTAAATTTACCTTATTCGACTTTGAAATTCGAATATTCTCAGAAGATGTTGAACATGGCTGTTCCTAAACGAATTTACTTTAGAAATTTATTTACCAGAAGCCACAAAGAAAAACAAAATACCTGAGAACTCCCTCTTTTTCAGCACTACTTTCAAACTCTATGGGACTACCAAGTCGTATTAGCTAAGACCCATCCCTAAGCCATTGGAACACAAATGAAACCTTAAACAAATGCTGAACTTTACATCAGTCAGGTACCTTCCATAAGATCAGAAATGGTTATTTTGAATAAAAAAATATTTTCGCAGAAATTTATCTTGCTTTCCACCACTATCCAGCATTCACATTAGGCAAGGTAACCAATCGGAAATCCTTTTTAGGTTCAGACCACATCTAACGAATCCCAGATTGATGAGATAATATTTATGATGATAATGACAATCAAAATAACGCCCAGTTCAGTAAACTGAGACATGTAAATTCTTAAAAAACTGATCGAATCCCCAGAAGTCAGCCTCCTTATAATTCCCAAATGAAATAATCACGCGATATATTTTTTCTGACTGGCTTTCTTCCTACAATCGAAAATACATGAATACTCTACCATTATTGTTCTGCAAAGCTCCCCACAGCATTGCAGCAAGAATCAAAGATTAGACTGAAAGACCACAGTGAAAAGAATTTATGATGCAAGCAGTACTCGTAGTTCTTAAAAATAAAGAAATTTCCGAGGAAAAACCACATCCTTTTTATATCCCATCCAAAACATGCCCCAATCCTAAATGAGTTATGAAAAGAGGACGCTTTTTGAAATAAAGACCATTTTAACAAAGCGCCAATCACTTTGTTACACTTTTAGCTACAACGGGAAACTTCAAGGATCTGTTTAAGTAATTCAGTCAAATTGGAGTCAGCTCATCCTTGTGGTAACAGCTGATTTTTGTCGAATCCCATTTTTCTCTCATTCCACAAAGTATGATGATTACAAGACTGGCGCAAGAGAAAAGTAGGAGACCACATGACAGACTGCCGGTAAAAGTCGCACAGCTAGACAAGAACCCTCAAAAGGTATAAAAAGGATGAAAAAAATATTCTATAACTACTGACTAGTATAAATTTCCATAAATGTCAGCAAGTAGCAAAAGGTTTCTTTTGGTTACTATTATTTTTCGAAATTCGTTATGGAGATCAAAAGACCCATGCTTAAGTGGCACAAACCTCATCTGACGTCAAAAGAAGAACATCACTGAATTCAAGAAACAATTCGAGTGCTCTTTTCTCTTCCGGTGTACCAGTAGACAGGCTTCTTCCCCGAGGTCCAGGATCAAAAAACACTGTCGTTTCAGCACTAATTGCACTATCAAGCGCGGAGACAATCAATTTGGTATAAAGTTCATCAAAAACATAGCCGTTGCAGAAAAGGATCTTGGACTGCCTGATAGCCGTCAGAACTGGTCTAGAGAGTTCCTTCATCCAACTGAATGCTGGCTCTATGCTAAAATCCGCACGACTGCCAAAACAGATATTGTTTAGGACTGGCATATTAACACTCAATTGGAAAATGAGAGAAACCTTTCAATAGAGTTCACTAAAAAGTAAATTTACATGATACCGATATGATGGAAAAGTCCTTATGAGGAAGATAGTGATCATACGTTGCATGACAACATTGTCTGAGAGAATTTTTATTTATACCATTCAACAAGGACACATACCCTCTTTCAACCCGTTTTTACTCGAATTTTATTTTCTCAGATGTTCTTCTGATCACGGTAACTTAAGAGGTTTGGTTATGGACACAACCTGAAAACTTTTGGGTAAATTCCTGTCTGCCTTAGTTTATAATGGAGCTTTATTACTCACGAATTTCTATTCAGTACATCAACTATTCCGTCTCTTCTAGAGAATTAACTGAAATGAAGGACCAGCGAGAAATGTGTATCCAAGATGTGATGGATATATTAAGCATGCCATCCATGGCATAGGTTCCAATTATCGGAAATGAGTCTTAAATGGAAAAACATCTCTTCAAAAATCACGAAGGAAGAAGGGCTTATGATCAAATATGCGGAATTCTTTAGGAGGTATTTTCATTAAATTTAAAGCTACGATCGGCATACATGAGACTCTAGAACAGAAAAATGACAAAGAAATACCTGCAAAATCCATGTCTTTGAAATGGATCCACCAAAACCCAGCAAAGAAGAGTTTGATACGAGGCGCTATACTCCCTCGCAGCTTCAGAATCTTCATTCATTCCAACCATACCAATGCCCTCTTCCTGAAGCACATCCAGGAGAAATCTTCCATATATTTCATCTCCTATATAACCCAGGACAGAGCATTGAAGGCCCAGTCTTGCCGCCGCAATAGAAAAGTTACAGTTACCACCCGCTTCCCAAAATTTCTATATGACAATGTAAAGATACAGAATGATTCAGACAGATCAATTGACGAAGCTTGGCAAACTAATACAAGAGTTATGTCTAGTTAGTTCCAGTCATACAAAAAAATTTGTACACATCTTTAGTAGAAAATCCTGATCAACGAGAAATTTTCGAAACATAGACTTCTGTACAAATATACCCCTATCTTCTCTACTGAGCAACACCTTTTTAAAGATTAACCATGGTCGGGAGAGCCAGTAGAATTGGATCAATGTTTTTCTTTATCATTCTAAGGGGACAGGATTCAGCATATGAAATCAGATCAGAAATAACAAAAGTGCAATTATGATCTGAATAAGCCGATTCATGGACATCTTCGAATGGCAGATAATAACCAACAAAATCTATTTGAAAATTAACCCAGAGATTTCGAAAGAGTCACAAGTGATCATGTAATCATAAGGAAAAGAAGAAAAATAGGTTTCTAGCATTTTTGACAAACTGGAAGTGCCTCTGAATTGAAAGCACATGACTGGGTGAAAGATCAGGTCAGGATAGGGATCCCTTCTTCACGATGGCCCTATGAAATCTTCATTTTTATTGAGCCAAGAGACAGAAAAGCGTCAATCGGTTTCCTTATTTGCACAGGAAACTCTACTACTCCCAACGTATACCTTGTTGAAAGCCACGTCAGTAGCAATAGCGATTACTGATAATAAGCCGAGATTGTTGCCATAATACATGATTTTCTAATAAGGCGAATCATCCTATCAGAGTTATAACTAAAATCAGATACAGATGGCAACATTCAGCACGTATAATAGTAACTTAGCTCACAGAGAAGGAATGGACAATTTTGGTCTCGAAAAATCGCCGAAAAACTAAGCATAATGTGACCAAATTCATTACATCAAGCTATCCAAAACTCTCCACTGCTAAAGACACGGATATTACAGTACATGGTAAGAATAATCAGATAAACGTGAAAAATCCAGCTGACGAGGATCTTTGTCGCCGAACCTTATCAGGTGGGGAGGCCGAAAGCCGGTCAAAATACTCCCGTCGCCCCTCGCGGGAAGGCGGAGGCAAGCTGGGCACGTTGAGGACGATGTCCACACAGAGATTCCCAAGCGTAACAACGTCGGTATTCTTCAAGTGGCCGCCGTTCCCTTTTTCGCCTTCTCCGACACTCTCTACGAGCCCATCCCACCGGCAATTCTGCGACCACGGAGTTACCCCGCGGCGGATTCTAGCCAGAGGCCGCAAGAGATTGTCCCCGCCGGGGAAGAAGCCTCCCAGCAGCGGCGCGGCAGCCCAAGAAAGCTTCGACTGAGCCGGCCGAAGAGGGCAGCAGTCGGCTTCCACGCGGCACGGAAGGAAGGGGCTCTGCGGATGGTGAGAGAGGAGGGGTTTCAAGCTCAGCATTGAGATATCGGCGGCGACCGAGGGAACTCCAGCAAGGTGGAAGCGTCCAACGCCCGCAAGAGAGAGGAAGGAAGACCAAGGACATCGGTTTGAGAAGGGGAGAGAAAAAATATACAAATCCTGCCAAGGAATAGGCGCGGAATCTCAGGCTTCACAGGGTTTCGCGACACCGACCGGTGACTTTACCACGTTCATTAGCCAACTGGCCTCTTTATTCCTCATCACAGGCCCATTGAGAATATCTGACGTTACCTTACTTATTCTTTTATTCTGATTTTCCCTGCCATTGCGCTAGTGGACCGACCCTGATCAGTTTACTTTCATAAGGTTTCTGCTCCCTGCATCTTCAAGCTTTCCAAGATTCTAGGACCGTACTATGACCCTAATCCGGCTCGAGCTCTCGGGCTCATGCATGGAGGGTTGACCCGAGAAAAGTCTACATCGTCTTGTCCGTTGACCATCTCTCCACTCCTCATGCAGCAGCAGGTTGTCCAAGCTGGTAGTTAGCCGCTTCAAGCCCCTCCCTCCTTCCATACAACCAGCTTCCTTGATGATTAATGTCTACCAATAGATGCAGCCAAGCATCATTTCCCAGCATTGCCACCTAAATCTAATGGTTGACAAAAGAGTTCTTCACAAGCCTCATCCTACGTACCTCCTCCCTTGGTATCTGCCCTCTTCCGCCTCTCACTATTACACAATGATTGGGAGATGGGATCCTTGGCCCCCCTTCAAGCACTCTACGTTGGACCTCTTTGAGGCTTTATAAGGCTTGTGCATCCCTCATTGCCCCTTTGTATATATAGTTAATGTCGTGAATTTTTCTATTTCCCTTTAAAAATTAACGCATATTATCTAGTGTTTGTGTCAACTCCATACGATAAAATTTGAAAGTCAACCTAAGGAATATTATGACAGTCGCACCATCAATTTGTTTCCAGAAATGCTATTATTCCTGGCATGCACATGCTCCTTTGACCAAGCTAGTAATGTGTACATAGCTGGCCGGTGGAGAGTTGGCGTGGGATCCTTCCCTGTGGGAAAGTCTGTGGGACCCACAAGGTTATGTTCTAAGAAGAGGGAGATACGAGAAGCACATAAAATCTGAGAGATGTGGAAGGAGATGTCCTTTTTTAAAAGGTTTTTTTAGGTTATAGGCATCTAAAATTAACTATAAAAGGCAGATTGTGTGCCTAGAACTTGGAGCTCCTTCTGAACCCTCAATGATCCCATTTTGGTCCTCAAGGTAAAGTGCATGGTATATTTTCTTGAAAATCCCATTATTATTTAAGATAATACCGACCATATTGGACCGTTTTGGACGCATGTCACAAGCCTAGTGACAATAGCCAAAGAGGGAGGTTGGGGGTGGGAAGGGGGGAGGGGGGGGGAGAGACGCCTGGTGGCTGCTGTAGTCGAACCATGTGTGAAGCCATTGACCCAGTCTGATCCTGGTCCTCCCTAGCCCAGGCCTTCCCATATCTCTGAGCAGAGATGGCTGATCGGGGATATCTCCAACTTTCAAGGGGATTTTAATGCAGCCCACCATTCTACACACTCGAATCCTTCTCGTGACAGTGGAGCGTTGCCAAAGATGGAAAGACGGTTGATCAGGAAGGAGGGAGAAAGAACCTCCCCTTTCCTCTCTCTCTCTCTCTCTCTCTCTCTCTCTCGCTGTGAAGTGATCTATGAGGAGACCCGGACGAGCGGAGAGACAGCGCGTTTCGTCTCCGTCCTCCGAAGAATCGTTGTCCGCCATCCCCACCATGAGCAGGAAGAAGATGAAGATGAAGTTGCAGCTGATGGGGAACAAGGCCGCCCGGAGGCAAACCTTCAGGAAGAGGAAGAGCTGTCTCGTGAAGAAAGCCGGTGAACTGAGCGTCCTCTGCGATGTCCAGGCGGTCATGATCATCCACAGCCCCTACGAGCATGGAATCCAAATCTGGCCCTCCAAAGAGGAGGCCTCCTCGCTCCTCAGGAGGTTCCTCAGCATGCCGTCGTACGAGCGCAAGAGGCACGGAATGGATCAGGAGGCCTTCCTCCGGCAGCAGATAAACGTGCTAAGCAGCAAGGTTGAGAAGGAGGAGAAGAAGAACCAGGAGCTCGAATTGGAGTATCTCGTGGGCTGGTTCCTCGGTTGCGGGGAACGAGCTTTGAAGCAGCTCACTTACGACGAGCTAAGCCATCTACACCTCATGGTGGAGGCGAAGCTGGAGGAGGTCCAGGCGACGATGAACGCCCTTCTCCTTCATCAGCAGACACCGGGCGGCTTCCTGTGCCATGCGGCAGTGGAGGGGGAGCCTAATAATATGCTTCCGCATGGGCTCCCGAGTTTCTACGGTTCCGTCGAAGAGAGGATACGAGCCTTGAGTGGACCAGACTGGCAGAGGGAGATGATGACTTCCCCATCGCTACCTTCCATTTCGACGCTTGCACCATCTTCCTCCTTCCCTCCCTTGATGAGCTAGAAAGATGAGAGGTCCTTAACCATGGCGTACCTCAAGCTCCTCAGGTCTTTCGGTCTGTCCTTGGATCTTCTTCCTAGTTCGCCATCTTCCTCGTTGTTCTTCCCTCGTCTATCGGAACCAGTGTCCCTCCAATTTGGTAGATTTTTCTCGGCAGCAACGGCTGATCCGTCTTTCAGTCAAATATTATGTTGAAACTTTGATCCTTATACTGGATGATTCTGACTGCGGCAAAGACACCATGTTTCGCTCTAAGTAGCGTTGACATTACGAGTAAAGTTGCCAAAAATATAGCTCTTGCCGTATGAATATGAGAATGGAAAGAAACAAAATCTACTGCTCGAATAATTTTGTTTCTTGATTGAATTCGTCTACTACCACATAACATGATGAATTTGTTGGTACTGCGGTCAACCCAAGTCGAAATGGAGTTGACGACGTTGTCCGAGTTTTATCGTATGGAACCAGCTACACCTCAGACGGCTAAAATATTCGTCAGTGCCTACATTTCCCGGAATCTAATCATGGTCCTCCAAAGAAGAAGCATCCTCGCTCCTCTGGAGGTTCCTCGGCGTGCCGTCGTACGACCGCAAGAAGCACGGGATGGATCAGGAGCCCTTCCTCCGGCAGCAGATCGGCGTGTTAAGCGGCGAGGTCGGGGAGGGGGAGGAGAAGAACCAGGAGCTCGAGTTGGAGTACCTCGCGGCATGGTTCCTCGGTTGCAGGGGACGAGCTTTGAAGTAGCTCACCCACGGCGAGCTCCGTCATCTCCAGCGAATGGTGGAGGCAAAGATTGCGGAGGTGCAGGCGAGGATGGAATCCCTCACCCTGCACCGGCAGACGGCCGAGGACGGATTGCAGCTTGCATTACCTACGGGCTCCTCTTGCCCGACGCCTCGGCCACCGTCCCCGCCATGCTGTGCGACGGCGGAGGGAGATGTTGTAGTTATGCGAAGGCAGACGAGTTAACCCTCACAGAGAGACGATGAGGAAGCATGCTCTCAATAATCCGATTTCCTCATACCTTTCATATCAAAGTTTTAGAGTAATACTTGCATATCTCCATCTATAGAATGATCTTGAAAAGTTCTTCGTTTAAAGATGGATCACTACTATGGTTAGAACCCACTAGGAGCATCGCCGGTTTAATCAGAATTCCATTGATTTCTTGTTTTACATGGTTCAGCCATTGGGATTCTGCGGGTGTTCTAAGCATGAAGCTTATCCTCACTTTGACAAAGAACTATATCTCACCAACTATAATACTCTAAAAAAGAAGAAATTTCTGTGAATCAAGGATAGATTTTTATCTAAATGACAAGATGATCTGTTGCTGCATCATTGGATATGTCTAACATTCAACTGGTTGGAACTGTTCCGTCAATTATGCCCAGATTTTCTCGCAAAAGTCAACATTCAACTGGTTGGAACTTCTGACCAAGACGTCCAATTGACATCAGCTAGACCTATAGTCCAGGAAATCTTGAGAGACCCCGGCGTTTCCTAACGGAGAAAAAGTACTACAGAAGGAAAGAGCTATGACAGGAAGGCTTCAACTCCCTGAGCGAACTCTAAATCTCATTACATGGAGATCTGATGCAAGAACAAGAAGCATTAGCATGAATATGTACAATAAAAATGGTCTAAATAGGGTGGGATTCACCGCCCAAGAGAATACATTCATGGAGCCGTCGTCTGCAGTTCCACTGCACTTTGTTCTGATTTTAGACCAGGAAATTGACCTATATCATGCCCATCAAGCGGTTGAAATGAGTTGTGGAGGCCGACAGAGAATTCATCGGGGTGGTTTCCACCGCTCTTGAAATAATCTGCGATCTGCAGAGTCAAATGGGTATGTCATCAATTAAAACTAGACTATCCCAATATGAATAAATTTTAAACTTCAGAGCCCATTCTCATATTTTCCCTTTTTCTATCACGCTTCTGCCAATTTTTGAGCGAAATATACCAATTATCTAGTTGCTTTATACATCTAAAAATTATGTTGGGATCATCTAAAAAGATATCTTCTTCGTTATAATGAATATTAAAAAGCCAGGCATCATTTGCAATATTTTTTCACAGAGGTGACTCTTCTCTGAAAGATCATTCATATGATCATGAAACTTCGATGAGCATATGGAACTGCAACTCACATGTTCGGCGAGGGATATTCCACTCAAGACTGCAGCTTCTACGCTTGATCCAAGCAACCAATCCCCACAAATTCCAGCACGTCCATGGGGATCAAAGATGCAGGGAACGTTGGGTGTATTTGTGGGAAGCGCTGCGCCCCTAGTAGTGAGAAAACATAGCAAATAGTGAGCCTCAAGCCACCTGCATCGATGGAAATAAAATAAAATAAAAAATCAAGGATTAATTGTCACAGACCACAGCTGGACTCGTGAATAGAATGGTTGAAGAGAGCCCTTAGATAATCCAAGAGCAACTTCAGCACCCGCAAGCATGTCTTCCTTCACCTTATCAGCCGTTACTTTAGGGATATTTTCCTAGAAAGATGAAGGTGTTTATATGGCCAGCTTTGGATAAATTCACATCAAAATAACTGCACAAAAATGCCTCATTATGCAGAAATTCTGATCAAGAAATGACCCGTGTCGTCATAAATGAATAAAACCATGCAAAATGGAAGAAAAATTGCATATAAAAAGAGAAAGCGAACTCACTTGGGGAACTTTATTTTGTCGTCCATAAGAAGCAGTGCTGAAAAAGGTCCAACAATGGGGCATGTCAAGGTTGGACGGGAAAAGTTTTCTAGTGTTATTTGCCATCCACGAAACCGCATCGATGCCTTCGACGAAAGCTCCTTCAAATGCTGGAACAGCATGGCTCCGGGGAGCGGCCAGAGGCTCTTCAAACGCTGCGAGGAGGGCCCAGATGGAACTCAGTTCCAGCCTCTACTGTCAAGCAAAGCAGCAAGGAGAGTCTCAAATTCAATAGCCTTCAAAGATGCAGTATCTATCAAGGAGTCTTCAAAGCATCCCTCCAGGAAGTTCACCTTCATTTGTTTCGTGAGCAATGGTAACCCAGATGAAGAAAGCAAACGATTTGCACATTTTCCTGTAGAAAGAAAGAGAAGTAAAGCTACCAGAAGTCCACACTTGCGCACTCGCTGATCTAATTAGTACAAATATTATGCAGGGAAATTGGAAAGCTCATATCATTAACCTAAAAGAACATATCAAGATATAGTGATAAAACAGAATGATGGGCATGCTGGGAATAGGCAGCCGTAAGAAAATACACCAAACTTAGACGTGAATGTATACCTACTAAAATAAAATGGTGGGGATAGTCAAGGCAAATGCGTACAATTACCATTGTGGGAAATTACAATAGAATCAAAATGCCCTTGAGGTTTCCCGTTCTCGCTCAGGTGCCACAACCCATTAAATGGCTCAATTTTGCTTATCCAGCAAGGTCTCATCACATTAACCATACGGCTCTGCATTTCCAGGGGAAGAGCCTCTCAGAACAGGTCAAAATAAATAAATTACAAGACGGTTGCCAACTAGAACTGTCAAGGAGCATAAAAACCCTAATAAGGTGAATTACTTACCGGGCATCATTTGAACCTTGATGAAAACAATAAGATGCCAAAGAAGAAAGCCAACAATGATAACCACGCAGTTTTAACAGACACAGGAGTCCAGAATGTACAGTACACGCCACTGATTTGAGCTAAATAAAAATAAAAAATTTCTTCTGGGGTCTCCGTAGACAGATGGTTACATGGATGACTCCAAGAAAGGCCCTGACAAAATAAGAATACTAATAGGGATTCAAGCACACTGTCCAGAAAGATTTACGTTCCATTCTTTGATACAATGGTTAAGTTTATGTATTTACTTCATTCACTAGGGATCAAGACTAAGATTAGTGTACTTAAAGAGGTTGCCTCGTTGTATTGGAATATAATTAGCGTCTTCCACTCCAAGGTCCTGATTTGATAGTCGAGACAGCATAATGTCGAGGATTGATGACTCAGATATCATCATGCGTTGAGGAAATATCACAAATTATGGTTAAAAAGTTACTATGAGACTCCTCAGGTGCTGAAAGACCGAAGTGCTTTCATAGAACTCTCGTCTTTCCACATTCAAACCCTTAATTTGAACTAGAAAGATAAAAAGTACAAAAAAATCATTTATTTTTTTAAAACTGTGAGCTTTTATACATTCCAAAGAAGGTCAAACATTTAAAGATATAAAGATTAAGTACAGTGGATATATCTCAAAGTGGGAAGTATGCAGAAACAAGCAAATGATACCTGAGATAGGATTGAATCCGCAAGGGGTCGCATCCCTTTGGTGCCAATGTATCTCGCAGGAGAAGGAGGGATAGGCGTAAAATCACCACCACCTTCAAGGCTCCCAACCAGGCCCTTCCATTCACGAACTAGCCCCTCATTGACCCATCTGTCCACTATCATTTGAAATCTGGGGTCACTCACAGTGAAGAACTGGGCTGCGTGATCAAACACCAGTGGATGAGGGTCAACTACTCTTGTCCCCATACGCCCACCCAAACCATGCACCCCCTGAAGAACGATACAACGACAGAAAACTGTTCAGTATGCTTATGGAAGTAAACAAAGAAAAGAAAAAATGTCAAAATACTCTGCCATACAAAATAATGATATTGGCAGATGTCCTTCTGACGGAGTCAACTTTGACATCAATTTTAGTAAAATAAAGGAGTGATAAAGAACACTGATTTGCCCAGCTCTGTGGACAACAGAAAATCGAGCGATTCAGGTACAAGTGGAAAGATCCGCTGACCTCCAGCCCACCTATTTTACATGGTTAATCTGTAAAGGACGCCAATCGAGAATAATGTAGCGGGGAAGAGGCACCTGCACCCCACACTCTCAACACTTCAGCGCAGGCATGTCCGAACACGACCGCTACTTCCTTCTAAACTTCGGAATCATCTCTGCGCGATACGTCGGCCCCCAACCCACGAACTGGAGCTTTTCTCGTGATAACCACCAACCCATGAACAATAATAACTTGAAGGTAACCCCATTAACTGGCCCCTCTTAAGTGGGTCATGCAGCATTTTTTTAGTGGTTCAGGATCAATTCCATTCCACGTATGTATATACCAAGAACAATCTCGTTAAATCATCGACCCATTTCTTTCCTTTTCCGACTAGACGCGGTAACGAGTTTTCCTAACGGTGGTAATTCTTCAGAATTCGTAAAGCCGCATGCAACAAATCAAAGCATATAAACAGAAGATTGGAGAGTATGAAGAACTCGGCGCTGACCGTGTCGAAGACAGTGGACCGAATCCCCCTCTTTTCGAGCGTAACCGCGCAGACCAGCCCCGAAATACCACCCCCGATAATCCCCACCACCGGGTCGTCGGCCACGGGAGCGGTGAACACCACCTGCTCCTGCGAGAAGGTCTTCTTGAGGATCGATCTCCTCGAAGTTCCATAAGCGCTCCTCTTCCTGGGCTCCCTCCCGGATACCCGGCTTCTTCCGCCACCTCCTCCCGCTGAGCTTCCCCGCCTCCCCGGTGCAGACGGCGCACCGCTGCTGCAGGTCACAGAGAGAGTCCCGGAGGTGTTTCCCGCGAATGGGAAAGCGGGCTTGCGAGGTCTGATTGGACAGAACATGGAGGAACGCAGACCCAACGCCATGACCGCGGCTGCTCGAGGAACGCAGTACGTTGGAATCCCCATGGTTGGCGCCTTACTTATCCTCTGCGGTGCTCGGCGGCGGCGAAAGTTTATTTTTAAAAAATAAAAATCAAATGAGAAAATAGAATTCACTCGGGTTTTAAAAAAAAAAATAGAAATCTCGTATGAATAATTGGCTATAGAAACCAAAGAATTCAAACCGCCAAACCTTCACACTTGGCGCTCAAAGAGTTCTAAAAATAGAAAAAGTCAACGGCAACCAAGCCATCCAATCCCTTGAATCCACCCGTGTAATTAAAAATAATGAATCTAGTATACATATATTATCTCAAATCGGTGTCTAATATTCGACATTTAAATATAATATATACATTTAATTATGAGCATCAGTGAGTCTAGTTGGTCACATTTAAATAAATAAAAAAATAAATATTCCTTTTAAAAAAATTGGGTACACCAACCAAGTTCTGCAAATATATAAATATGTTACTTTCAAAAATTGAGCTGTGGGGCATATAATCTGAAATTAAAATAAATAAATAAATAAATAAATAACGGTTCATCATTGGTGCATGAAAAGGGCAAAAAATTACTCGGGAAAACCGACAAATAGATTGACCAATTATCCGTGAGAAATTGAGCTCGGGTCGCGTGATGGTCACGAGAATCGACGAGAACATGACGAACGCTCGACCGACTTTCATGGACGGAGGGAGATGAGGCCGCTAGCTAGCTGCCCGGTTCATCAACCAGCGCACCCACATCCTTTTTTTAGTCATTCTACGAATATATATATATATATATATTTAATTTTTCAGAGAGGGGAAAAAGAACCCCTCGGGACTCGGCCTTTCTAACCAGGAATAATAATAATAATAATAATAACTAATAAAAAAATAAAAAAGTGGATGACGCATCAGCCTTTTGTGTAAAGGGGTTATGAAGACCGGTGAAGTGTTCCTATAAAAGGAAAAGACCGTGGACTTGTAGGGATAAGGGTTGAGAGAGAGAGAGAGAGAGAGAGAGAGAGAGGGAGAGGACAGGAGAGAGAGAGAGGGAAGGCGGTCGCCGCCTTCGACGGGGGACGGACCACGGAGTGGGGGAGGGCGGGGTGTCGGTTTCATGGGATTGGACGAGGACGGGGATTGGGTCCCGCCGGGGCGACTGGCGGGACTACTGTCCGAATATTGAAGTTTCTAAATTTGAAAAAAAAGGGGAATATGACACCGATCCCGAGCTCTCGCGGTTCCGGTGGCTCAACCCACGGTCGGTCGAGATCTCTCCCCTCTCGTCCCACAGACGGTCAAAGATGAGCCACGTAGGCGAGTGGGGTTTGAATGACGAAGCGCGCGGTCGCAGGATAACGCTGGGCAGGGGCGGGGGTTAAGTCCGTCTTTTCGTGGATAACGGCCGTCACGACGGCCGACGGACGCACGGGGAACGTTGGAGAGGCGGCGGGTATTAAATTATTTAGTCTCTGGGGGATTCGTCGTCAGTTTTCTTAACGGCGTTATGACGGGGGGGGGCCCCTATAAACTGCTGGAATAGACGGGGGAAGAGCGGACGAAGAGGGCAAGAGGGACGGGAGGGGGGCGGAGGATTAGCGGGTTCAGTGGAGGCGCAGGGAGATCTCCTGTTTGGCCGTGAATCTTCCAAGGCAAGGTAGGAGCTGTTAGGGGATCTGCTGCTTGCTCTCATCTTCTTGTTGTCTTTGGTTGCTTTCCCTTTCGCTCTCGTCGACCTTTTTCTTTGTGAGAGTGTGAAGTGTGCTCGATTTGATTGGCTTTGAGGGGCTCAAACTGGGAGGTAGGTGTTCCATTATCCTGGATCAAGGAATAGGCTTTCGATGGCGTTGTAACTGGGTTCTGGCTGGTTCCTATCTTGAATCTTTTTCCGCTTCCATGTCTCTGGATGGTACAATGTAGTATGAGTGGATGTTTTGCCAACGCTTGACGGAGGGATTGCATTTCCTTATGGTAAATCAGAGTTTGGGCTTACCATCGCAAATGGTTGATGTAGATTCTGCCAGGTTTTTTTTTTAATTTCTTCAGTGGCATGTTGTGGTTTAAGCTTTTTTTTACTTGCAATTGGGAGTTATTTGAAAATCGTGTCAGCCCTTCTGAAAGTTTTCTCTTTTCCCTCGGAACCCGTGGCGTTGAATTTGTTTCTCCTCGTTGTTCTCAGTCTGCTAAAAATAACATTGTATAGTTTTTACTCTGATCCCTTAATTTTTCGGGGAACGTTAAAGCATGATACGTATGGGAAGATTAGTATGTGGTTTTCTGCATGTTTAATATCCTTACGTTCCCTATCGCCCTATGAAATACGGTATTATTGGGCAGATATAAGAAAGGTGAGAGTTAATCTCAGAGCCTATAATATTTTTTGTACTTATTATGTCTTTTCGGAACTTTTCCGATAGTTAGGGCTTAGTGGAATGTGAGAAGCATTTTGAGCGGTTTTTTTTTTTTTTGCTATGTGGCATCGGGGACTCTCTCTAAACTGAATTTAATTGAAAGATTCCTTGACGATTTGGGAGATTCCAAAACGCGCACTTCCTCTTTTACTATATTTTTTGAAGTTTCATTCTTCCTTTTGGTTGTATTATGCTATTTATTATAAGTCCTTAATTTTTTTTCATTTGATGAGAATTTTCTCTTGGATATGAGCTATTAGAGTTGTTGATGTTCATGGCAAGGATCCTAGAAAGTGAGTTCTCAAATTCGAATACGTAACAGTCTATTAATAAAATGGTGCTTCAATGAAAAGTTTTCTACTTTGGTTTCAGAAAGGATCCATCTCATGTACAAGCTCAATAGCCGTTTAAGATAGACTAAAAGTGAAATCCGGAATCGACAATGCATATGGATTTAAACGAAATATTTTCCAGCGCATGGTAAATAGGACATGCATAAGTACAAATTTGCTATGCATAATTTCCTAGAATATTAATTAAAGCATCCTACATAAATGTAGGATGTGGGGAAAGTTTGTATGGTAAGTTAGTTGCTCTCTTTATTTTTATTTGTGGCCTAAAGTCATTTCACGTGATTTACATCTTCCTTTTATACCCTTATCCAGCAGTAATTTTAAAGACTCGGGATTTAATTCTACTCTCCAGATCATCCTCTTAAGTGTGCATATTTGTAGCCTTCCATGAAAGGCTTCCTCCCTATATCTATATGTGACAAATTCTGTGTTTAATTCCAACCTAAATGCTTCACTATTATGTGCTTAGAGGTCAGTGAATTCTTTGGTGAGATGTAATGAGACTAAGAATTGTAAATAGAAATAAGCTGACATAATTGATAGACAATGAAAGGTGAATTTACACGAACTGTTAGCTGTTCACAATTGCGACGGGAATGTGTGAACCAGGTGAATTTAGATGCTTGAGACTGGTTCTTCTTCTTCTGTTAATAGAAACAAATTTTCTTGGGCAACTGAGTTGCACTCTTCATATGCTGTAAAGAGAGAAGTGTTGCCCTTGTGGGCTGTTAATTCGTTCCATCTTTCAAAACTAACATTTTGAGGCATGCCTTCAAATAAAATTCCATATTATTTATAAAATTTAAAGTAACTCATCTTCCATGTTCCAAGGGATTTTTCTTCCTGGCAATTTTAAATTTTCATCAAAGCATTCTCTCTGGTTCAGACAAATATTGCAAAGGTATTGATTTCTACATCTTCTAGGCGAAAAGGTGTAATCGGTTATAAATAATTGATGGTTTCGAAGCTCTAAGTTTCTGCTTCCTTTCTATATGTCATATTATACAAAGCATCGATTTGTTGAGCACCATTGAGTAACTGACCTCTCCATAATTGCTGCAGGCCAACCCACAACTGATGTCAATGAAGTCTCTGCAAGCTGACAATGGAAAACATCCAGATGAAGAAGACACTTGTTCTGTGGCTTCTTCGTAACTGCCTATGGCCCTCTCTTCTTAAATTTGTGTTTCTGTAATTAAAATTAGATATGCTCATTTTTTGACACTATGTAGAACTACTGCATCAATAAGAGCAGCAAAATTCAAGCCAACTGTGGCAACTGCTCCTATTTTTAGATGCACCCAGCGAGCAGAGAGGCGGAAGGAGGTGCACTTCCTTTATTGGTCTTTCTCTTCAAGTGTTTATGTTCTTTGCTAACATAATTGGGGCATTGTTTTGTTTTCCAGTTTTACTCAAAATTAGAAGAGAAACATCAAGCATTGGAGGCAGAGAAAAACCAACAAGAAGCTAGAACTAAAGTATGTTGCCTCATTATCTCTTGTTACAAAATCCTACTTTTCACCTATGGGTCATTTTTATTTCATTTAATATCTACCGGAAATCTGGAGAAAGTATTTGTATTTGGTTTCCCGTTGAGAAACTATATCTTGTTAGGGATATTCTTAAGTTATTTTACCTTTACTTTTTCTTTTTTTATGCTACTGTATTTTCCCAGGAAGAGAAGGAGGCAGCTTTGAAGCAACTGAGGAAGAATATGATATTCAAAGCAACACCAATGCCTAGCTTTTACCAGGAGGGTCCACCTCCTAAGGTGGAACTTAAGAAAGTACCAGAGCTGGATCCCTAGCTACTGCATTCATGGATCCATAATTATTTTTGTTTGGTTTTAATGGTTTATCATTTCATTTACTCATCTTAGATATCCATTGGGTACCACTGCAATATATTTCAAAAATAGATCTGACTTTGGTGCCCTCCGTTTCCCCATTGTGTGAATGCCTAGTTGAAAGTATAGTTCTTGTGGATGTACTGCGAAGTATTAGTGATCCATGTTTCATTCAATGGTACTCGGGACATTGGAGAGGGGTGGCTAGTGAAGATATTGCCATGTATCTAAGATAGTACGTATTTGAATACAAGCGAACAATACAACAAGGTTAGACATGGATCTATCCACGTTTGTCTTTATAAAGTTGCTGCTATTATTTCCAAAATCGAAATCGTGTTATATATTTCGTTTGGAAAAAAATGTTCCATATTTGATGTTAATGTGTTAAGTAATCCTGTCAGGCTTGCCATTTGTCATTTCCACTCTATTTGCTGTATTCGAAACCAAAAGGATTATCTCTCGACGCTGTTGGCCAGCTTGTACAATTCAAACGCATCTACTTGAATCACACGTTTTAAGAATATCTTTTCTTACAATCATTTTCAAAGGGAGTAGTAGCACCAGAGAAGGTAGTCAGTTTCCAGACCCATCCCAGTTCGTCTGTTGCTTTATCCTGCAGTAGTGGTAGCATGCTTCTGCCTCCTCTGAAGTTAACTGATTTTGTGTTTCCCCAAAAGCGTTCATCCGATGGATTCATCTCTTGGAGGATTTATTTGTAAATATGAAATCCCTGGTGAAAGAGAGAAGCAAAAGGGTGTATGAAAATGTTGAAAATAATGTGTTTCTTTATGCAGCCCATGCTGTTGCTCCTGCTGGTGATGATGGCTGCCGCCGAAAGTGGCATGTGCCAGATTCATCTCTCTGCCCTTGCCAGGGAACTGGTCGGCTCTGACCCAGATCAACAATCAGACTGAGATCTGTCTTCTCCAGTCTGATTTAATGGGGGAACCCTTTTTCCCCCATGAGATTAAATGAAAACAGCAAAAATCGGATAATTCTAGATTTTTTTTTTTCAAATATTCATGCTTGCTTACATCAGTGACAATATTTTTTTTTTTATTAAGACTTAATTGTCATTTGGTTGTTCGTCGTCTTGGGTGCAATCTCTTGCTGAAAACCTAGATTTTCATGCTAAACTTCTCCATGAATGTTTTGTACATAAGTTTTGTAATCCTCTCACATTATATACCCATTACATCAAACCAGGCACGATTCCTCTGTTTGTATCTTATTTTCTTTTATCTTTCCATGAAAGCCGCCTCCGACGCGGGCCAAATCCCCGAAGTTCGGCCGACGGAAGAGCTGCAGCGACGCATCCAACCAAGCGCATGTGGAGAAGGCCCAGGTACCGGTCTGCGGTCAGGTCAGCCGTCACAGCCTCGGAAACCATAAAGAGGTCAACGACAAGCTACAGAGAGGAGCCAAGAAAGGAGGAGCCGCCGCTGCCGCCTGCAAAGACAAGGAAGCGCTTCCGAAAGCAGTCAAGGAGAGCCCAAAGTCCACCGTACAGGAGGTCAACGAGGAGGGATCAGCCTTCTCCCAGAACAACGCTGAGGCAAGCGCTGGGATAGCCGTGCAGTAGCTAGCCGATGTCTTCATGTTAACATCGTCCGCCCAGCCACCCCCGCCACCCGCGCCCCAGAGGAGATGCTTCAGCTCATCTTTCTCCCATGCCTTCCATCACCTGGTTGTTCTAAAAGACTATGTATCCTATGGGAACTTCGCTTCGGCTGTCAGGTGTAAATTTTTTCAAGTATTCATATACAGAGTGGCATTTTACCACCACCACCACACCACCACCTCCTTGGGAGCCCAAGCTCTCTCTCTCTCTCTCTCTAAGAAAGGCTCCGTCTAGCAAGCCCAAGGCGATTAATTTCGGTCCATATTATATACAACTTATGATCCAATGCACTGTACAGATGGCACATATATAGCAATGACAACAGGGCAGGGAGAGGCGATGGCCTCGGCTACTGGGTCATGGCCACCTGTTGCCTCATTGGAGTCAGCAGTCTCGCCAATGGAAGAGGAACATGGGCCCTCACCCACGTCCCATTCTCCACGTATTCCTTCACATGGGGAAAGAAAAAAAAAAGTAATGAGAGTAAGGTAAAGTCAGGAAACCATCAGCTTAGTGAAATAAAAATAATATTAAATAAATACAGCAGATTAAGTACATAGGAGACTCCGGTTGCAGGAGTTTATTAGTTGAGATGATGGTAGGAATGGTTCTCTCTTTTTTTTTTTCTTTTTTTTTTCTTTTTTTTTTTTGTAATTCAAACATGAACCGTTGATGATATGAGGCTTATGAAAGACTGCAAATTTTCTTCATGGGTAGATGTATAAGATGTAAATTATGACGGAGAAGATACAACATAAAGTATATTCTATAGAATGATCTGAGAGATCAGAAGCCACCGAAAGAAAATGACCGGAGAGAATGAATTCATGATACTCACAGTTTCCTCCACGATTCCAACCTGATGAATGGTGCTGAGCAGTTCTCCCTTGTCATATGGAACCAAAGCTTCCACACGGACCAGAGAATCCTACCACATCAATGGCGAATTAATGATTTCAGGGAGGGAATTCGAAAGAGAATATATATATATATATATATATACCTTCAGCTTTTCTTGAATGGCATGGCAGAAGTCCTCTAAACCATCGCCATGCAAGGCTGATATACAGACGATTCCAAGCTGTTCTGCTTCCCTTCTGATCCTATGGGGATCAGGGGCCTTGTCAACCTGCGCCAAGGTGAAATCAGTGATATGTTATGAGTACGACAACATGATCGTCATCGTGGTCATAATCAGCAGTATAAAATAGCCAACAAGCCTAGACCACCAGATCCAATCTTATGAAGGTGTTGATGGATCGGTTAAGGCTCGATGATAGTCAACTCCTTCTGCATCCCAAAACATAGGCCACAGAAGAGAGTTGACTTAGGAACAAGATAAAATACATATGGAGTGCAGCTACAAGAGACCCTCACTCCATGCACTCGGCAAGACATGCGTCAAGGAATTTATGAAAACTCTATACATGCCAGGTAAATGGATTATGTAGACCTGATAGTGGACCTGAGAGAGTTTCCATGCTAGAAAGTCAATGCCCTTAAAGGATTAATTTTATCACTGATAAAAGTACGTATTATTTTATGCATTGGAACCCAAATAAAGAGAGAGACAAGAGTGACAACCAAGCATTGGAACCCTAAAAACAAGATTTAGCTTTTTTTACCTTGTTCCAAACCACCATCCTTGGGATTGAAGCAACATCTAACTCGGACAAAACTCTGTTTACCGAGTCTATCTGCTGCTGTGCTAGCGGATGGCTGAATTGCGTTCAATTTAACCACAAAAAAGATTATAATCACCCCAAAAATATAAATCATTTCGACAGAAATAAATGTAAACATAGTGGAAGAGGGTAATACCTAATATCTACAACATGAACTAAAACTGATGATTCGGCAATCTCTTCCAATGTGGCCCTGAATGCAGCAACCTGACAAAGTCACCCTCATCAGAAAATTAACGTTAACAACCTTTATGCTCTCAGACAGATTAAGATGTGTTCAAATATATTCCCTGAGAAATAAATAAAAAAATATATCTAGAAATATTCGAACATATTGAGACAATCCAATGAGAAAATAATAAGCAAAGCTCAGATGGAGACTGTAGTAAAGAATGAAAGAGAGAGAAGTAAGAATGTAGTGGTGGAAATTAGTAAGCATTTACCAGAGTAGTAGGCAGTTTCTGAATGAACCCTACAGTGTCCGTCAGAAGGAATTCCTTCCCGTTCTTCATCTGCAAAGAGGAGATGGCTGTATGTATCAGATGTTCCAAACAGGATGGGCCACAACTATTTAAAAATGAGTGCCTTTTTACCGTTATGTAATTTCGGGAACAGTATCGGCATTAACATGGCGAAAATTCAGATTTAACACATTTGACAAACAAATCAGGAAATTACTGTTTATGCAATACAACGAGTGGAAAATGTAAAACCAATTTGAACGGGTTCAGCCAGCTCGTGTGAATTTCTTGCTATGAACCAAGCACTAGGTTCATCTGAATCTGCTTTTATTGAAAAACGAAAATTACTGACCAGCACTCTTCTTGTAGTCGGATCAAGTGTAGCAAATAATTGATCCTCTGCTAAAACATTGGCTCCAGTTAGATGATTCAAGAGAGTACTCTTTCCAGCATTTGTATAGCCAACCTGAAAAGGTTGAAAATTCAGAGTCTAGGTCTATTAAATATAAAATCTATTAAAAAGCCGAACATATGTTACTTGAATTTACCAGAGATACCACAGGGAGTGGTACAGATAGTCGACGAGTACGATACTGCTTACGATGTAGCCGAACAGTATCCAATTCTTTTTTCAAAACACCGATCTGTTGACAGAGGGCAATGCAAAAATTAAACGAATAACAAGTACTGGATCAACAGATGCACAAATTGTAATCCTTAGTCAACGGTATTATATCAATGTCGATGACAAAAAATGAGAGAAATAGGCTGAGATGATTATTACCCTGTTTTGATTATCAAGGTAAAGCTGAATCATTAAGCTTAAGATGAAATCATAGTCCTGCTTACGAACATAGGAAAGTATTCAATTAAGTTTTTGCTTGACAACGAATAGCATGTATTTATCTTACATCCAACCAACACTAAAATCTAGTAGAGGGGCAACGAATCAATAGTTTCTCAGTTAGATGGTCGTAGCCCCGTCATAATTACCAATGAATCTCAGTAATTGTCTAAGCCACTTATACACTAGATAGAAAACCAGTACTTGAAACTTTTACGTATGCTGATAGAAAATAAGCACATAATCCCCACCTCATATACTTTCAGCCATTGTGTTAGCTTAAACAGTGGTTTACCCTACCAAACTACTAAAGGAGCAGTTATCTGTGAAACATAATTCAAACGAAAAAGGAAATGAAAAATTAATGAAAACAATACCATGTGTTACTTGATTTGATTGCATTGTGAATGTGTTTCAATAAATCGACGGATTGCTATCAGCCTAAGAGACATCTTATCAATGGGGAACTTGGTAGAAAATTGTCATTGTTTACACATATGCTTCTAACATGAGAGGGAGAGAACGCAAAATAGTTTATTTCAACATATAAATGTAGCATCAAAACCCTTCAAAATTCTAAAAGACTTACTTGAGTGCGCAAGATACGCTTGTCTACTTCAATTTGTTTCTCACCCATACCCTTAACCCTGCCACCTGCTTGACGTTCAAGATGAGTCCACATCCTTGTCAGGCGTGGAAGTTGGTACTCCATTTGTGCCAAGGAAACCTAAAGAATAAGCTGTCTCAGGATAATGGGCATGTATCATGGAAAGAGGTAATTTCCTTTCACAACAATAACTATAATACTAACTTCATGATGTAATACATAATGCGGAAACTATAAAAAGGTAAGTTATATTCGTCTGGATGCATTCATGTAAAAGAATGTTAAAGCGCATGTATAAATCCAGTCGACATTTCATGAATAGAGTAGTATTGTAAACATATTTTTTAAGTGAAACTTCGTCTCGCTTTCTTAAATAATATTTATGGCCTCACAGAATCTTAATAGAAATTAAAAGTAGAGGTATGGGACAGAAAGAGGCTCAAACAGATCATATAATTTACCAAATCACGAACAGAATCTAAAACCCATTATGAAAATACGTAAGTAAATTCTAGTATTTTGTGATGGACGCACACCATTCATACCTGAGTAGACTTTGAGTAATTGTGAATAAACATGGATAAAAAGTTTTACATCAGACAAATTCCATGTGCTACATTCATAATTCCAATGTAAAACAGGATAAGAAGGTGGTTTTGGGCGTGCATGACACAAAAATTATATGCATAGTTACCTGTAATGATGCTTCATGAGTTGCAGCCCTTTGGTTGAAAATATCTAGAATAAGAGCAGTGCGGTCACAAACCCGGATATCCCCGCCAAAAGCCTTTTCTAGGTTGCGCAGTTGCCTACAGGTTAACATGAAGAGAAATCAGTATATGTCATTCAAACTATTATGAGAGTAGTGATTATGTCATTCATTCAGCATCTGTTGAAACAAAGTGAAGCATGCATTCATCCAACTGATTCCATATCGTTGTCTTATTCTATCCTATCAGCAGATGATGATTTCAATATAAGACATTATACAGAGAGGTCAGAATTTTAGGCCAACGCTATCCAGAAAATGAATTTTAACATGTCATTCATGAGTAAGAGCTACATTTTTCCAGATAAGTAACAAGATATTCCCGTTTGAAAATTTGGATAAGTTCAAACCCTTTTCTTCATAAGACTTGAAAAATTTTACGAACTAAAATGAGTTCTTATGTGGCCAATATCCTGTCCATTATCCTTATTTCATTTAAACGTAAACACCGACCCTCCAAACAGGGAGAATATCTGTCTTAATAAAACATCTAAATAAATCTATTTTACTTTTTATACCATAACCAACCAAATGCAAAATAATTATCCTAAATAAATTGAAGCACCCTACCCTGGAGAAAGCTCATCATCAAAGATTACAGTCTCCACATCAAGAGCATGGATTGCACTCCTGATTTCTGAAACCTTTCCTGATCCAATGTACGTCCTTGGGTTTGGAGTTGAAAGCCTAAATGGCAGGTACGATAATCTTTAGTCCAAGCACAGTCAGTTCAAAAGGGAAAATTAATAAAGCCAAATAATACAATAAAAAGATAGAAGGAGATTTATTTGGTAAAAAAGGGCACAAGATTTCACAATGGAAGAATTCCCACGTAAAAATGTCAACTCACTCTAATGTTTATAAATAGAGGAACTCATTAAGTTAATGAACTGAAACTACCTATTGAACTTTAAGTAATATGTTTTCAAGTAACCATTGCGATTGCTTTCGAGAGATAAAGATTTTTACAATGACGGTTAATAGAGGCCTTAGGCACAATAATGTCATTAGTGACAACAATGGCATAAACAGTATCTTCCACTTCATCTTTAAAGCCTTGAAGATGGGCTAATATTCTAAATACGGATATCGTTTCAATGGCAGGAATGATTCAGATTATGCGATTTGTCAGTCTATCACTGGACTGACAACTCTGAGAGCTTAGGCTAGGAGCACTCAGTAACTTCAACATGGACAACACAACCTCCAGCACTGGCTCCAAGAAACTTTTTCGTCAACATATTCTCTCACCACTGACTCGAAACTTCCTATAATATTCTTCACACAATAAAAACATACTAGACATTTCTACGGAAAATCCAATCTCAGGTTTTGGGAAATAAAATTCCCAATGCCAAAATGAAACACACGCATTGATGTCTTCTTATTCATGCAAGGTTAGTTATACATACAACTGTCGTATTGTAACTTCCACCTCCCTGAGGTATCTTCCATGAAAGCTAAATCAACACTCAATTATAAAGCAGTTCAAAATTTTGAATTTCCAAAAATAAATTTATCTGAAACTTAACACTTCAGACCCAAATCCACATGATGTTGCCAACGAAACACTACATGTGCTCAAACCAAGCATAGGACTTAAAAGCCCCATCACCAAATAACGAGACATTAACGTAATCAAAAGGTACAAACGATCATACCGTCTCTTTTCAAAGTTACATTTTTCAGGAAAAACCAGATGGAGGCAATATTCAAAACACTGTACATTATGCCTTATTGCTTTGAACATTTATCAAGGTGTTGGAGTAATAACAGTCCCTGTTCCAAGCAATGCAGCGGATGGTGCTATAGAAGAAGCAAATCATTTGCTTTATAATCATCATGTGTCTGAAATTTATGCCATCGTTATCATTTTAAAATAACCTAAAAGAATTGGATATATCTAAACTTCCATGGACCACAATTTCAAAGAACATCACGAAGTAAAAACTATAAAAACTACATCACACTTCATCACGAAAGTAGAGATACACGAATGATAAAATGTACTCAGATCAACAAGTAGAATTCCGGTTAACGTTTTCAGCTTACCAGAGCACAAATTCTGCTTAGCATCAGTCAGTGTGGCTAAAGGCCTTCATGTTGGCCCATGGTCAACCATCAAAATTTAAAAAAGAAAGACTTACTTCTGATATGTAGAGCCAACAACGAAAAGTCCAGCAGTATCTGCGAGCTGTCCAAGTTCCTTGAGAGATTCTTCAATGCTGAATAACTTATCCTCACTACTTTTACATTCAACACCTACTAAGTATGCCTTCTCCGCAAATACCTGGAATTTCAAGTCCCAACAGTATTCATTTCATAACTTTCTGAGGGAAAAAAAAGAAAAATGTAACATGGGCAACTATAATCAGGAAAACCAAATCATACACAGGAGAACCAAAGTACAGAAGCTTACGATCATGTGAATCAAGTAATTAGCTTCAGATTCCAATCAAGATAATGAACATAATAAAATTAGGCACTAGACTCTAGATTGGGACCAAATAGACAGAAAAAAAATTCATATACCCTGTGTTTTGACAATAATTTTCAAGGAGATGAAAGGGAGAGGAAATTTAGATAAGGAAACAGTACCAAATGACCAAAATTTGGCAGTTCTAATTGATGCAGTCAATGCTATTTTTTTATATAAAAAATCATAGAACATGGAGAATTGATGCGGCGAATTGTTGCAGCCAATCAAGTCAGACAGGACCTCCCAATTATGAACATCTGATCGTGTTTCTTCCGCATGAAGTTAAAAATTTACAAGGACCCTTTTCAAAACATGAAATTCATAATGAAATAGAGTATTTGAATTAAATTATCACCAAAGCACAAAACAGGCTCCAGTTATTCATATGTCAAAGCATCCGTCAAATATGAAATAGCATAAATCACCACTAATAGCCATTTTTCTGGAAAAACAAACATAGGACTAAATGCGAGAGATAACATATCGGTCATATAGTCATTAAAGTGATGCACACGGATAACTACCTAAGGAAAGAATGTGGATAAAGGTGAGGATAGGATAATGCAAATCGACGTAACAAAAAAAATGTGTAAACGGGCATTTTTTACGTCAGATTACATGGAGCATGAACTCCGACTTCAAACATCATTCTGTTGGAGGATGTGTGAACTCTTATCCGGTCCAACACCATATAGAAATCTAAAATCTCCAATTGTTATCATCCACTGTAAGCAACATTGCTTTTTCTAACGAGAGTTAAATTTTCTTTCGAGAAACTCTTCGGAAAACCAGAATCTTACTAAACAAAAAGCATACTCAGGACTCGAAGAGATCATCAGAAGTTACATTAGACTCTACAAAAGGATGACAGAGCATTCAACCGACCTCTTTCCCGTTCCGGACCTGGTACCGGTCGTGCCCATCGACCTCTTCTTTTTTCCTCTCCTTCTCAACAGGGACCTCCGACCTCGGCGACACACTGACGTCATCGAGCCCCGCCTTCTCAAGCCCATCGTCTCCAGCGGCTTCACCCGCTTCTTTGACGACTAATTCTTCCCCCTCCTCTGTAACTCCGCTCCGGTACCCAGAACTCTCCACTTCCAGCTCCTCCTTGAGGACCCTGCAGACCACTTTCCCCCGCAGCGCCCATGAAGAGGGAACGTTGAGGCTGTTGCGGCGCGGACGGAGACTCCACTGGCAAATACTCCGCCGGGCGATCGTCACAGCCGCAGCAGTTGCTCCCGGGAGGATCGCGCAGGCGGAGCAAGCTCTCATGGCAGATATCTCTCCCAGGAGTAAAAAAGAAAAAAAAAAGGCTAAAACAGGGGACTCGAAGCCGGTCAGATGGTGGATAGAGTTAGAACGAGCGGGGTCGGCTTCTCGCGGGGTACGCTGATCCGCGGAGTGCTTTCATGCTAAGCTATCCTGCGTACTATTCTCCCAGTAATAAGATAAATATGATTATATTTTTAAATTAAATTAAACTATAATACAATGATATTAATAATTATTTTTTGTTATACATCATATCACGCAATAATTCGTTGCTGGGGGATAAGCGATGCGAGTAAAATCAATAAAAACTCAATGAAAATAGATATTTATAGTGTCATTATATTAGGTAAAAAGTATTACACTGTCAATTAAAAATTATTAATTTCCGATCTTGTGGGATGGAGAGAGAGAGAGAGAGAGAGAGAGAGAGAGAGAGAGAGAGAGTCTTTCTTTTTTTTTTGTCGACAGAATTGTGACTTAGAAAGTGTGAATATTTTCATACGGTCGCCCACCACCTGCTACAGGTGCCAATGAAACGATCACCCGCCGTGCGGCGTCCTGCTGGGGCCGATAGCCGAAGCTCCCCTTCCTCTACAAGGCGAGAAAAGGTTCCAGCCGTCGATGGCTCGGCTATGGCGGCGAGGGGAGACCACCCGGCCTGGAGGCTCATTGGCTTCGTCACTGATGGATGGAAGTGGAGTCGCCCTCGGATGGCACAGAGAGCATTCGGTGAGACACTGGAAGGAAGATGGACGCAAGGGGAGCTGATTCCTTTCGGGGAGAGCAGAGATTTGTCAAGCGGGGCAGACCAAATCACCGCATGAATCTGTGTGATCGTAATGTCGAGTGAATTGCAGCGGATTACGCATCGTGGTCGATCGGATCTCTCTCCTCCCGTTTTCCTGACCAGTCTTCTTGGCAGGCAGGTTTATCAGGAGGAAGGCTTTGAGTCGTCAGAATCCTCAGTGAATTCCTCTCTGTACATTTCTTCAATCATCGGCTTCCACAGCCTTACCCTGGCGTTGATAAACCAGTTCGAAATCTGCAAAAGGCAGGCATGAAGCAAGCACAAAACCCGATGCACTCTAAACGAAGAACAGAAACCCTAGAAATTACCTGGTTCCTCGTCAAGCCTGTCCTCGAAGACAGCATGTGTTTCTCGTCGTCACTTGGATAGCTTCAAAATTAGAATCAACTTGAGGGAGTCACGACGCAAGAACGGACAAGTGAATTGGAGTCTGAGATCAGATACTTACGGATGGAGAAAATGCTCGAAAAGCCATGCTCGAAGAACAGTAACAGAGCTCTCTGGCAATCCTCGAAGAGGCCTCCACACTTTCTGGCCTTGTATTGTGCCCAGCCTCTGGAGACGTATTTTCTGGTTGCCTTTCTGATTGGACAAGCTAGGTTGATGAGAAGTGCTCAAGTTCTTCCTACTGGAATCCTCAAACACGGGGTCTCTTGAGGCATTGATCTGAGTGATTATCGTATCCCTTAAACTGGAGAAGTGCCTGGACATTTCTTGGCTTATAAGAACAATATATGACTTTGCAGCTCCCACGCCTGCAACTATCTCAAACGAAGAGATCACCTCCTCAATTTGACGACAGTATTTCTCATACCGGGTATCAAGCTGAGAAGATTCAAGAATCAGTAAGAATCCAATCCCTTCAATCCATAACTTATGATCTATTACTCCTATTTTTCAAAGTTAGCGTCAATCCTTATCATGATTCATTTAAACCATTATGACCTAGCAATACCGAAAAGTTATTTTCAATGAGAAAAGGTGCTAAATTTTCAATCCATGTATAATAATAGCCTCTTGCTCTTATTTTCCAAGTTACTATCTATCCCCTCCTCAGTCATGGATCATCGAATGATAAGACCTGATTGATTAGCAAAGCATGCCCAAATTACGAAATGAGGAAAATAAGGAAGATGGGATGGGAAACATACCTCATCCAACAAAACGTGCAGGCTTTTGGTTCTGTTGGAAACAGATTCTTCTTCTGATAAGCATAAATTATAGCAAATCGAGTTCCTATCCCGGGGGTTTGTGCTCTCCTGGTGAAAAGATCTCATGCCGGTTTGATCAGTCAGTTCAGTAAACCTGTTAATCTTAGGTAGCTCTTCTGGCCCAGATCCTGTAGCTCGGGCAGCACAAGCAAATTCATTGAGCAGCTCTTGTGCTGGCTTCAGATATTTAGAGCTCCACATAGAATTATGAGAATTCCAGGCACAACGAGGACTTGGAAGAACAGGGAAATCACCACCTGCATCTTCAACCATGGGGCTCCTCCATAAACACTTTGGCACCCCTCTTAAAACAGTATAACTAGGGGACAGATTGTTGATGGACAGGTCCTGATCACCCTTGGATTGATGAGAACCGAGAGTAAGCGACAGCTTCTGCCCTTGGATTGATGAGAGCCGAGAGTATGAGACATCTTGGAGATTGGTTCCTCTGTCATCTTGCAGCCTCCTTCCATATATTCTATCGATCTCTGTTTCCTCACAAAGCTGGGGATTTGCCTGTCCCGGTGGCTTCCATACATGGCCTTCCATGGATTTGACAGTCGCCGGTAAATGATATCTCACGTAAGAGAAGTCTTCACCTTGGTTCGACTCCTCACTCTGAGAGAAGAAGAGGGCATCTGCTGCATGAACAGCATTAGCAGTATCCATGGCTGATATGAGACATCTGAGATGCTTTTCGGAGGAATTCCTGTGGAACTTGGATAAGGGGAACTTTTGGAGCCAATTTCTCGGAACAGGGCATAAAGTTGAGGAGACAGACACTATCAAGTTAGAGGAAATAAGGATATCATCGGCATCTTCTGAGAAACAGGCAGAATGGAGCGACAGAAGGCAGAATGTGAGAGCTGGTTCTCGCAGATAGTTCGAGCAACTGGAACACCATCCCTTTAGAAAATTAGGCTAGGGGAAGCTCATAGAGACCATCCATACAGTTTCAAAGGTGATCTAGGCCGATCATAGCGACTGATCGGGCGCTGGTCTCTTACCCCTCGCGCCCCGGGTGTGCAGACCTCCAGAGTTCCCCTGGGATCCTAGTAGAACCCAGTTCTGCCACAACTCAAAGTCTGAACTGGGAATAAGAAGTAGAAGAAGGGCGAGAAATAGGAAGACGAAGAAGAAGAAGACTGAGGTTGGGCAGGGTAGAGGAGAAAGGGCACAAGTCGGGAAGCAAGGAGGAAGATAATATTCATAACGTGGTTCGCTTCCCCAGGACCCGCTCGCACAATTGAACCAGCAGAGACAGAATGGAGAAAGTAGAAGCAGAAAATTCAATCTCGGCTCTGATGCCCCATCCGTAGGCTGTCCTCTTCTCTCTTTTTTCACGGGTATCCTGGAATCTTTTCACCGGGGTTTCAGAAAAAGTCCGCACTCACTCCCCCTCCCCCATCGTCCCTCGAGTTTCGAGGAGGGGGAGAGGGAGGGGCTCCGCCCCCGCCCTGCGCAGGCCCCGAGGGAGAAGAAGCGGACTTCATGGGTCCCTCAGGGTCTCCCTAACAGCGACGGCGGGACAAGTGGACGCCTTCCCGGAGGAGGATCCTTCTGTGATGATTGCTCCTCTTCCACTCCGCCGCTGAGTTAACTGCTTTCTTTGTTTCGTTTGATTCCAGAGGTGTTCAAGCAGGTGTGGCAAATCCCCTCCGTCTCCTTCCTGGGATGCCCTCTTCTCTCTTCCCCCCTTCCGCTCTCTGACGCCGGTGAGGCCGATGCAGAGCGATCAGCGGCGGAGCAATCTCAGTAAATGAACAGATGCTTCTCAAAAGGAGAGACGGCCTGCGACCAACTTGGTCGGAGGTCCCGGCGATGGCAGAGGCCGCATTTACGCCCGCGAGATGCTGCTGCAGCTGCTGCTACTGCTGCCGCCGCCGCCTGCCGGTCTCTCTGGGGATGGCCTGATGGCGACGAGGACCATTAATTAGGCGGATGACGTCGCAGGAGAAGACCCCCTTTTACTCGCCAGTCAATGGGGGAGGTGGACAGGGGGCGCGACGGCTCGCCGTAGAATATCCGGGCAGCTCGATCTGAGCCAGTAGCAGCAGCGACGCCGTACCTCCTTCATCGCATCGAAGTTGGCCACTTATCTTCATCATCAGCACGAAGGTGCTCTTCTCTTCTAACCAGTACACTGCAATGAATGCTCCTCGGCCTGATGAACTCACCACTTACCTTTAAAAAATAGCAAATTTACATGTTTTTCGGTACGAATTACACAAGTTGTACAGTAGTTTCCACAGATCAATAGACCCACTCAGAGATCAGATAATACAAGCTCTCCAGCAATTGCCGCGAGAGAGAAAGCTTACTTATTCGAGGCTATGGCAGTCTTGGCCTCCGCTGGCAGCCGACTTCAGGCCACAAAATCATGCAGCAGAGGGAAAGAACCGAACCTGTGCCGCCGATCCACTATATTCAAGCAATCGTAGTCCGCTGCATCGCCCTGGATCGGAGCAAACCGCTGGTCAGCAGCTGGAGCATGCGGGCCGCCATCGGTGTGCCGCAGGCCCAATGTAAGGGACACACTGCCGCCGGCCGCGCCACCTCCCAGCCCCTCCATCTCATACACCATATATCTGCTGTTCACATCTGTCTGAGTCAGAGCTTCTTCTTGGAGGAGATCACAGTCATCGGTGAAAGGTTGCGGCCTTCCTACACTGCTCGACCCGGCAACTACCCCGTCTCTTGCCGCATTATCATCCACAAGCTCTGAGGATCTTGCCGCATTATCTCTGCCTCCATCGCCGTCCTGAGAATTTGAGTTCATCTCGGCGTCCTTCAGCTCCTCCTCGTACATCTCCTCGATCATGGGCTTCCACAGCCGCACCCGGGCGTTGATGAACCAGTTGGAAACCTAGCATGGAGCGAGAAGGAGAGACATGCTCAGATTATCCGAGAAGCCCAATTTTGACCAAATCATGCAGACAGGCAGAATCTTTATAACACATCAGAGAAGGGACTACCTGGCTTCTCGTCAACCTGGTCTGCCTCGCCAGCATCAACTTATCAGAATCCTTGGGGTACCTGCCAAGAGGAGAATTTTTTTGACAAGGGTCAGTTAACTTGGTACTAATTACTACAATCAGTGAGGTGGAGGGTGAGTCTGGTGTTTACGGATGAAGAAAGTGCTCGAACAGCCAGGCGCGGAGAATGGAAACAGCGGTCTCTGGTAAGCCCCTCTGCGGCCTCCACGCCTGCTGCGGCGGCTGCTGCAAAGAACCAAACTGTTGGAAGGCCCTCTGGTCCCTGATTTGCTGATCTATGCAGCGCAGCCGGGCCATCCCGCCGGCTTTGATGCTCAGCGGGTCTTGCTCGCCGAGGCTCTTTCTCGTGGCCGATATCTGCCCATTTATCGCATCTCTCAGGGAGCGGAAATGACTGGAGATCGTCTGGAGAGCCAGCCCGGTGTAGGGCTTGGCGGCCCCCGAGCCCAACAGCGCGTCAAAGGATGAGACGACGATCTGCATCTGGTGGTGATAATGCCTGTACTTTCTATCAACCTGCAGAGGAAGCAACCGGCAATTTTATCTAATACTCACTCAAGACAGTTGACTCCACATGAGGAAGGTAATTAGATGGAACAAGGCCGTCATGTCAGCGTTGACTTTTACTAGGGAGCATGCTTTCCAAGGAATGGGATTGAATTTTACCCACCAGCAGCGGGGGAACATTATTCTTGGAATGATCAGACAGATGACAAGGGACTCAAATCAGTAAGCGGATATATGGGAACAAGGGAGAAAACACACCTCATCCAGCATGGACATGAGCTTTGACATCTTATTCTGCAGATCTTGCCTCTCAGTCGCCGACAGCTCGGGAGCGGGGTTGGCAGACGGCTCTTCACCCTTTGGCCTCCAATCGTTCTCCCTTCTGCCCGGTGTTCCAAGAGACGGATGGCCTCTCTTGGATCTATTATTCTTCAGAGCACCATGGACGTTGACGACCTCATCAAGCAGGTGCTGAGCTGCCTTGAGATATCTGGAGCCGGAGATGGTGACCACGAGATTCTGAATGCCGTATGGAGATGCTTCGGCGATGCCCTTGTCTCTGGAGCGATCATCCCTGCTCGGCAAACCATTTTCTGCAGATGATTGATGAGAACCTGCGAAGGAAATCTCAGAGCTGGGTCTGTAATGGAACGACGGCATCGGGATCTCTGTACCAAGACTCAGAGATAATCCCTGGCCTCTTATGCCGGAGATATTTGATGGTTCCAATGAAGAACTCCGCCTATCGGCCATGGAACCAAGGAGGGGAGCTGGGCCACCGCTCCCTGTCTGCATGAAGAACAGCTCATTTCTCCCAATCTTCCAAGTATCAGAAGGAATTTCTCCGGTCCGGGGAGAAGCAAACTCGGATCTCCCCACTGTTGGCTCCTCCAGCGGCATCCCGCCGCTATGGGCAGGAAGCTGAACAGAGATATGCTGAGGCCGGGAATAGTAAACCATGGAGTCTGGATATGAAGAGGGAGGTGGATTTTCCGAGTAGAGGATGCTGCCAGGGAGGGCGAAATCTTGGTATGGCGTGTGGCCGGGGTCCTTATGGTGAACTGTGGTCATGGTGTCCCTCTTTGGTCGGTCAATCCATGGTGAAGTTGACTTCTCTCATGTCTTCATCTTGAATTACTCCAAAGGGTTGCTCCTCCAGGGCCTGGAAAGGTCGATCCACATTACAGGGTTTTGAGATGAGTCAACCTTGGATGAGTCTCAGCTTCGCTCCTGATGAGTGTAGTGGGTCAGCTGCCATGAGAAGATGATTTCCACAGTTAGAACAGGACTGAGGCCGCCATACTTGGAGGAGATGGCAGATTAAGTAAACGAATAGCCAAGAAAGGGCGTGGAACAAGGAGGAGATGAAGGATTATCCCACAAGCCAGGGAGCTCTGCAGCGACATGGCTCATCTTCTTCGGAGAAGGAGCTCCTGAAACCAGGCTGTGGGGGAGTGATTTTCGTTCCAGCCCAGCCCTGTGGAATCTCCGGCTCACCAGACGCTCTGATACAAGAGAAACGCCCAATCCCTACTAGACCCTGCTACAGTCTAGAGAGAGAGAGAGAGAGCATCTTTATGCGAAGAACCAGGCAGAGTAGGAAGCAGAGGAGGGGATTCCAATCTCCGAAGTAGAGAGTAGGGAGGAAGATGGGAGGCAAAATCTGGAGGAAGAGAAGAAGAATCCGGCGACGGAACGGCGAAATTGACACCAGAGAGGACCGGTCGGTCCCGAGTATCCGAAATCTGGAGAGAGGAAGAGGCTCCTGCATCCGGCTTCAGCCCGAGCTCCGAGCAGAAGAAAGCGCCGACCACCGACGGAGAGAGAAAGAGATGGAGGAGGAGAACCAGACAGAAGGGGAGAAGACGATGGCGAGGAAGATGGAAATAGCGTGAGAGGAAGAGCGACCGCACCTGCGAGAGGAGGAACTGGGGAGCGAGGAATTTGCAGCCGTCTCCGCTGATAGCGAAATCTTCTTCCCAATTCGGAGACAAAATCACCCGATCCCAACGTTCCCGAGAAGAGAGAGAGAGAGAGAGAGAGAGAGAGAGAGGGGTCGATATCATATTATCCTCGAGAGCTCGGTGACGGCGTCCACAAGAGCAACAGTTTATTATTCCGAGTTTTATAATATTGACGTCACCAAACTTGCTTTCCTTTTCTACCATTTCACCTGCCTTCCTCCCTCCGCCGCCATTTCCTCTCTCCTCCTCCGTCTCCCTCCAGGTCACGTAGGAACCCTAGACTCTCTCTCTCTCTCTCTTCACCCTGTGGTTGGGAACCAGTAGAAAATGGGAACTGGTGCGAGCTGGTCGGTGCCGGCGGCGTTGGTAGCGTGTTACGTCCACTAACCACCAGTAGGTGGACCTAAAACCCTATTCTCTTCCTTCGCTTCTCTTCTTCCCTTCCACCAGTAGCCTCCCTCTCTCTCTCTCTACCCCCAAGCTTGATGCTATTTGGGACCCGTGCATGAACAGAAACATGCATCTGCCTCCTTGTCCTCTCTCTCTCTCTCTCCTCTCTCCGGCACATATCATTTGACGAACTAATAATTGCGATTGGGTGATTGCACCCGGACCCGTTCCATACATTTCCGCCGTCTTTGAAGCCCCCAACCCCCCGGCGGGCGTTCTAGAGAGAGAGAGGGGGGGTCCTCTCGGTGCCTGTTGGCTTCATTCATGGCAGCCCGTTACTCTCTCTTTCGGTAGATTAGCTCCTCGATCGAGCTTTTCTTGCTGCATATGGCGAAGTGAAGACGGGGATTGGCTGCCTGCGTGTTGTTCACGGAAGGTCTCCTGAGTGGTCAAAAGTACCGTGGTGCGCGTCCCATCTGATCCACCAGTGGCCCATTCGATGAAAGGAAGGATTTTTTGTGCTTGCTTACACGTCTGATCAATCTCCTAAACAAAGAAATCTGGTTTTGTACCTCATTCGGCGCCACTTGAAATTTTTAAGCACAGAAAGAGCGAGCGAGAGAGAGAGAGAGAAGAGTGGTCAACCTCACCGGCACCGGCCACCGGCCACCGGCCACCGACACGTTGAAAGGGTATGAAGTCTCCTGGAATCAACCCTTGGCTCTCCTGTTGTGGCAAGCGGTGAAGGGTACGCCACGCCTTGCTGATGCTAGAGAGAGAAAGGAGAGAGAGAGAGAGAGAATGTGGAAGGCGACGTTCCCCTGAAGTGTTCTCTTGGGTCGACATCCTCTAAAGGTAATATGATGGGCTCTTTGGGGATTTTAAAACCAGGAATATCATTTAGTCACCCTCAAATGTATATTAAAATTCGTCATTTCTCACCGATCTATGAAAGCCCGGAGAGTTGCAGATACAATCCCAATTACGAAACAAAGCAGGGGGTCATTCGTAAATATATGTGGATACGAGTCGCCGCGGAGTCCCCCTCTCCCTTCCTGTCTTTATTCGCGTTCGGTGTGGACGGTGCGCGTGGCTGGCGCTCGCCCCAGAATATCTTCTCTCGCGTAGATCCGCAACGTGATGAGATCGGAACGAGATCGCCGCTCCGTCGACATCCTCCGTCCCTATTCCGGGAGCGAATATCGACGGAAGAATAATCTCCAACGGACAGCGACACAGAATAAGCAGAAAATCGATAAGACGCGTGTTTCCATCCACGAAGGAACGAACGATGCGGAAGAGATAAGGAATCGGAAACGAATGGAGGACGGCGGGGGTGGATTTTGTCAGATCTGGTAAAAACTCTCTTGCAATCTCTTGAGGTGCCTGTTATTTCAAACATATTTCAAATCTGTCTCAAACAATGGAGTGGAGGATAATTTCCGTCGAATCGCCGACAGAGGCGGCGCAGGATCTGCCGTGAGCCGCCGCCACGTCCGAGGCCGCTCCGAATCGGGAGCTAGCGGTCGCGTCGTGCCGACCTTCGTCGCTGCCGTCGATGGAGGAGGATGGAGGCTTGTAGTACATGCGCGCGGTCTGCGGGCAGTGGGAGTGGAAGCGCGCCGCTATGCGAACCCCGAGGTCCAGGATCTCCACGTACTTCCCCATGTTTCCCCTCTCCCACTCCCTTCCTCTCTCCCAACTGGGATAATCTCTGCTGCACAGAGAGAGGGAGGGCGGAAGAGGAGAGGGAGGAGGAGAAGAAGAGAAGGAAGGAGGAGATGAGGTACGGTGCTTAGAAGACGTCCCAGAGAGAGGCCATGCGAGGCGGGCCGTGGATCTGAGTCTCTCGGAGGAGAAGCCCTCGCTTTTATAGGTAAACCGGAGGAGGAGAGAGAAAATCGAGAGAAACAACCCTAGAGCCTTTCAAAGGTCCCAAGTCTTCTCCCACGCTTTTATTGGTAAGCCCGTGGAGAGAGAAAATAGATAGAAACCCGGTCCAAAGTCTTCTCCTCCGTCGCTTTTCTGGGTCAACGGGAGGAGCGAGCACAGAGAGAGCCCTAGAGACCTCTCGAAGGTCAAAAGTCCATTAATTCCTTCTCGTGGGCCCAAGAGTTGTCTTTTTTGGACCCTTTTGGCCCAATAAAGGGTATGCCCGTAATAAATTATTTCTTCAAAAATAAAAAGCGACGGGCTACGGTTCAAAGAGGACCAAGTGGCATCTGGAGACCAGCGGAGATGGAGAAGAACTGGTTCCTCGGATTCGACGGTCATGATAATCCAACCGAAGACTATTTGATACGGATGAAGGTTCCTACATCGGACGGTCAATAAAGGCGATTTGACGGTTTCTCTGGTCAACCTTTGATCAAATATCGGGTTCAATATCGGTTATCAGATCCTTAATGGGTTATCGGTCAGAATGAGTTATCGGATTCTGCCTCTTCTTGCTGTCGGAGCAGTTTCAGAAGCTCTGATTCGAACTGGAGAGGTCGTGCGCAGAGAGGAAGGTGAGCCAGACAGAGGGGAGGGGGAGGGCATGCGGGGCTCAGGCCCTGGGCCTTCGTCGGGATGGGAGTGGGAGAACGCCGCAGCTGGAGCAGTCGCCGGGTTCGCCACCGTCGCAGCTCTTCATCCTCTCGACGTCGTACGCACAAGGTTCCAAGGTCTCTCTCTCTCTCTCTCTCTCTCGTATGCCCTTTTGATCGTCCAATTTTGTGGTTTTTTTGGTCGTGACTGAATCCTTTTGAACCTTGCATGTGTTAATGGGCGCAGTCAATGACGGCAGGCTCTCCAATCTCCCGTCTTATAGGAACACAGGTCACGCTCTCTACACCATCGCTCGGGCAGAGGTTTGTCCCATTTTCCGGACCAGCTTCTAGTCTCAGTTTTTTCAAATGCTGCGTCTGTTGTTGTGATGTTTATTGATGAAATATGCTTCAGTGAGGATATCAATAGAATATCCTGCGTATGGTAGATGAGAGTTCCTAGTTGCGGCTAGAGATTGTATCCCTTTTGGGAAGGCTAAAAATTCGATAACTACCTGTTCTATCTGAATCATCTGCTAATCACGTTCTTCATCATGTCAAGGATGCATGATCTGAAAAAAAAAGTTTATTCAAATATATAGAAAGTTACACCTAAATGATTATTGCAAATTCATAACGCATAAGGGACGTTTATAGCAATCCAATCGTATCTGATCTCCATGATATGGAATGCTACATAACCGATTTTATATTTGTCAAATTCTTTAATGAGTGTACAGCATCCCACACCACTTTCTTCTGTAAATAATTTTTTTTTATAACCTTGTAGAATTGAGAAGAGTCGATATTTTTCGTTAGCATGTAATGCCTGGGAGAAATGGAAATTGGGCTGGTTTGGTCGTACATTGGGCTAAGCTAACGACATTAGGTGTTGAAATATGGATGTTTATACCTCACTGGTCCACAGTGATGCCCATCAACCTGCCTACTTGAGTTGGAGCTCTCAACACAGAGTAGGTTAACGTGTTTTCCACCCTGTGATGAGACAGACAACTGATCCTTTGCAAAGACTCATTGTTGTAGAAACCATCTCTACAATGCTTGGATTACTTAACAAAGGTGCATGCTCAAAGACAGAGTAACTTAATTAGTGGGAAACCGTGTGAGCTGTCTGTGCTGAACCACAGTTCAATTTTTTCTTAATCTGTTCCAATGTAGTGTCTTTTGATTATGCATCCAGAAAAAAAGCTTTCTGCTTATGCTGTTGGTGTATTTGGCTAAACTGCGTGGAAATATGAAATAGGAATAGTATTCAAATGTAAGGGTCACAGAAAACTCCTTATTTTTTTAATTTCTTGTTCAGCACCATCTGCATGGTTGCTACACTCGAACTTTCCTTCTAGCCTCCATAATTTCAGATGAAAACACTATTCATTTTTGAATGAGTAATTTGTTCTCAAATTTTTTTTATTTGATGCTTTTAAAGTGACGTTTATGTTTTGCTTCCTTATGGGTTATCATTTCAGGGTCTAAGAGGGCTTTATTCAGGCTTCAGTCCTGCAGTCGTTGGATCGACTGTCTCTTGGGCTCTATACTTCTTTTTGTGAGTGCTATGTCTTTACCATAGTTATTTTTTTGTGTTGTACCTTGAATTGAATATTTGCTTTGAGATTGTGTGGAATATATTCGTGATGTTAATGTTTACGACAGAACTTTCAGAGGCATCCTGTGGCAAGTGTAATTTAATTTTCTTAAGGTGATCCATTATGTTTTAGAAAGAAAAGTAGACGTACATGTATTGTCTCAGTAAAACCTATGATTGTATTCGGATGTCCTAAGCGAGCCTCATTAACCCACTTGTGCTTTGTCTCATTAATGGAATGTTTCCCGCAACCCTCAAAAAATAGGATGACGTCTGAAATTCACGTGAAATTCTAAACCAAACACATGAATGTTCCATGACTGCTGATATTATCTGCATCAGTACACATTTTCTGCTTGCTATTTTTTGGATGCAAAGTAAATATATATGAAAATAGTGGTAGTTTCTTGTGTCGCGCATCCATTACCTGTGCGAGGAAATATTTTAATTTCCCATCAGCCCAGATATTTCCATCCAATTTATGGATAATATCGATTCTTCATTGTTTTCACCAGTAAACCTATGGTTCTAATAGAAAAACATGACCTTTTGCTTTATAAGTGCCAGCAAGCATGATATTTTCTTGGGAAACATAGATGGCTGCCTAGTGTTCTTCACTAGGCATGATCTAGTAAAGAACAAACTATCTGAGATTTTTTCCTCCGTACGTCTTTGGCTACACATGATCTATTCATCTTTAGCTCTCTAGTATATTGCAGGAGAACACGATAAAGATGAATAGATCAACCAGTTTTATACTGTGTGAAGATGGATTTCAGATTTTGTATCAAATCGGATGACTGACCTTTCATACCGCTGAAGATGGAGACCTCATCCGTTGGTTTCTATCCTCGTAACCTGAAACGCTGAACTGTGCTAGGAGTCTATAACAGCACAAAAAGTGTTCAATTAAACATTGCATGTTTTGAAAGTATTTGAAACTATTTTCTTATTTCCTTTGTCCTGTTGCTGCTTTTATTTGTGTCATCATTTTCCATTTGAAGATGAGATCTGAGGTTTCTTTTGGAATTTTAATGGGAAATTGTTATCCACACATGTTTCTGCATATTTTCTTGAACTCTTTCATCCTCTTGCTCATCCCAAATTTATATTACCTTATATGCTTGTTTTAATTTAGCTTGTTTTTAATAAGATCTGCATGTAATGCACTTACCTCACAGCGCTTGTTTTCAATATGACTATCAAATCGGATTCATAGCTATAACAAAATAAAGCAGCGATATTCTAAAGGGAGTAGTGATCAGCTCAGCCCTGGACATCATCTTCTTTCTGCTGCTGAAGCAAGTACTTTGGTGAGTAGCCTAAGTGAGTTTCCTGACAATGACTTGTCTTCAGGGGCAATTGAAACATCTCTATTATTATTGTTTCTTTATTATTATTCATGCATATATATGCATGTGAAATGATGAAATAAGATATTTTAACTTATTTCTAAAAGCAGTGCATGATTACCGCAAATTACATTTGTAAGTTGTTCCACACAAATACAAGTTACCACAAAGTGCATGATTACTATCGCTTATCATTCCGCTACAGGAGGTTTGAGAGTTTTGTAAGTGGGGGAACAGCTAATTATGGGCATTTATGCTTGACTAGGTCTGAACAAGGTAAAATCCTTTTCTATTTATGATCTTGACTTGTCTGAAAAATTGTCCCCTTTCGCTCTGAATACATAATCCTAATAATAAACACATATGAACGAGCCCAACCCACCAGATTGGCAAGAAATAGAGACCAGTTGTCTCAATGCAACACTTAAAATCATCATGTTTAAACAAACTTTTCATTAGTTTGACCACATATACGTTTATTTTTCTTACCTCTAGATACAATCACCCTTGAAATTGGAGCAAATCTTAGCTATTCTAGTTCCACTCGATGAATTATGATTGATGTATTCATGGATAAAAAAAATCACCCATGGGAAGTATCCAAAGCTCAGCTGAAGGGAAGTTTCCAAAAGAAGTGTTTAGCAGGGTGTGCTCGTGTTGAGTTTCAGGTTGGAAAACAAAGAAATCAGAGAAAAGATGGAAAGTTCCAGGCTCGCAAAATCCTTGGTGTCTGGATTATAGCCACTTTTGATATCATATACTCTCTCTCTCTCTCTCTCTCTCTCTCTCTCTCTCTCTCTCTCTCTCTCTCTTCCTCCCTCTCTCGCTTATGTTTATCTTGACTGCACGGGGAGACATGGATGCCTTCAAGAGGAGTTTTGTTTCACAGGAAAAAATGAGATTCCTCTTATCACCTATCATTGATGCTATGTACATAGCATTGCCAATTGGTGTATCGATATCAGACAAAAGGCGGTCTGGAGAAGTTAGAATCTCTGTTTCATAAGGGAACGTGGTCTCCATCAATTATATATGACCAATTCAAGATTGAACGGTTGTAGCTAGTAAGGGGGGAACACCATGAAAGAAATAAAGTATTTTGGGAAATGTTATTCATGAAGTTAATGCAGAACGATGTGCAGATAAAGATCATTCCAAGTTATAGCCAAATTTGAACGCCTAGGAGTATCGTTAGTTTCTGATGATTTTTTCTCTTTCAACAAATATTATCATGTTTCCACTATCGTACTTGATAATATTTGATTTAATTTGTGAATGCATCACTAGCCAATTAACTTGTTAGTATCACAAGGCTGGAGGAGGTTCTTAGTCCTACCTGCAATGAACCGGGACCAGAATTTGGCTGATACAAAGAACAAGACCCCAATCTAACCCAAGGGGATTTCAATCGGGTGTGTGTTACATCCCGGTTGACCATGTCTGCACTAAAATCGAACCTGACTGCCAGGATTCACTTGACCGGTGAAAACTTCTAATCAAACACCTATTGGATATTTAAGAATGAAAGCTGACAATTATATTTGAAGTAAGACAAGATGACATTCTGAACTTTCTGCAATTCATACATTGTAGGGAAATACAATTTGGATGTCATTATCATGTAAACTCTTACGAACTTTTCTTATACTTCTTGCTGTGGTTTTATTTACTGGTGTGCACAATGTTGATTGAAGGACATTTCAGGTATGCTTATTCACAAATCCTGTCTGGCTGGTGAAAACAAGACTGCAACTTCAGACCCCTGTTCATCAAAGTCGACCATATTCTGGATTCTATGGTTAGTTACCTAAATTAAATATTATTAACTATAAAGCAAAACCTGTGTTTTCAGACCCGTTTTAGCTACTGGCTTTGGATGAAGACGACAGTCGGTTTGTAGTTGTGTTAGTTATCCTATCCATATGCAGTTTCTGGGGTACCTGATGCAGATTAAAATATATGATTTCAGATATCATCTTGGTAGATATTTGAAGATTCAACTGCTAGTGGAAATTTGTCTACTGCTTATTGCCAAAATGTTTACAAATTTCCATTGTTACAGTGCCGTTAACATATTTCATCCGAATTGTTTTCTTAAGTTCATAACGCATGCAGTTGACCTTTTCCTTTAATGTGTTCTTTTTTTTTACTTTCAGATGCTTTGAGAACTATTCAGAAAGAGGAAGGATTCCGGGGACTTTACAAAGGAATTGGGCCTGCACTTTTGCTGGTGAGGATCACTGATAATTTACCATGTTTCATCCTCTGTGGGCTGTTGATGTATTTGTCAATTGTCTCCTCTGAATTCTTAGGGATGATATTCATGGGTGTTGCCTATTCCCTTCCTACCATGGTGCCATCATTTAAGTCGTATCAAACAATAAGGCATGTTGTTGACAGTCAAAGTTTCATCTATGTTTCTATCCAACTATGATTTTGTGTTATAATATTCTTGATGTTAAATTCGAGATCAGGAATTCGAATGTACTTTTTCCGGGGCCATTCATAAACCTCTGCTATTCTCGAAAACATAAAGTTTGATGGATTTATCTTTTCCCCTCCAATCTATGTACAATTATTCGACATGTTCCTTACAATCCCTCTGTATTTCCAGTGATCTTCATTTAATCCTCACTTCTTTGGTAAATTAGAAGACCATCAATTCTATAATCTGGGTATGAATCATTGATATCTACAGAATCTTACGTTGTGCTGTCTAATCAACATGAGTGTGGAAAGTGTGATGGAGATGACATATTCGCGTTTAGTTTTGTCAGCTCGCTAGCTGTTAGGAAAACCCTACCTTGTCGTCGATGGCCTGACTCTAGAGACAACAGCTCCAGACATTTGGTGACATTCGTAGTTTTTGTCAATCTAACTACCATGCTAATTACCAGAAAACTGTCATAACAAGAGTTTCTCTTCAGGTTCATGGCTCTGTGTTGATTGTGGATATATTATCGACTATAAGAAATGATATGCGAGCATTCATGGACTTCCTTTGAGTTTTAGTTATTTTCTTCTGAGTTTGTAGATTGTAGCATGACAAGGAGACATAATTTCTTGCATAAACATTTTCTGAATATGCTGTAAGTTAAACCCATCTTTCTTTCAGTGTTCAGTTTTCTCATTGGTTTATTTTACTGGAGGAATGAGAAAGTAGCCTTTTTTTGTGACCGAATGATGCTTGAGACAGTGATATTTACTATGATGGGCTTTCTTAGAGATTGCATCAATTCATGCTATCGACAGAAGTGAATGAAAAACTGCTGAAGAATTAATTTAATTGAATTGAATTTTAATTTTTTCTTATTTCTGGTTAGATATCAATATAACTCTTTTCATGCTTTAAAATCATGGGCTATTACTATGCGTTCCATTGTTGATCAGTATGTTATCTGTTTCCAATTGTCTGTCTCAGGTTTCTCACGGTGCCATTCACTTTACTGTGTATGAGGAGCTCCGTAAAATCTCCATCCACTTTAAGAGTCATAAGGAGAGGATGAGTCAACATGGTGATGAATTGCTGGTATTGACTTTGCTAACATGCTTATCTTGTTCCTACCTTCAGTAATGTTACTCTTGGTGTCTGTAAAATTAGAGACCCTACTATTTCTGTATTTTCTACAGTGAATAAAAAAAGAAAGATTAAACCCTGGAAATTTCACTTATTTCTTTGCGTCTTTGAGTTGAACTCCACATCTGCCGATTCTGCTTGGAGTTTGATGGGTGCTTTCGGTCTCATTTTTTGAACTCCTTGGCTTCCCTAGGAAAAGAAAAGAAAAGAAGGAAATGGTGAAAATTAGCCGTTACTGTGATGAGTCTGAACAATGATGGATGGTTTTCTTTGTTTTATCGTAGAAATGTCCTTGACGCATTTTTATAGAATATCGCGGTCTAATATCTGACCGATTTCTCCGATTTGTATCCTCCACTTGACTCTTTTCATATCATTTAATATCTCCTACCCATGATATTTGATCTTATGTGGTTTTTAGTAATTTTTTCTCCGACCACTGACAAAAAAGCTCTTTCCCATCTCATGTCTACCTCTTCCAACGTCTCCTCTTCGTTGACTTCCAACGTCTCATACTTTCTCTGTTGTTCCCTCCTGCGCAGAACTCATTCGATTATGCTGTTCTCGGAGCTTCTTCAAAAGTCGCCGCTATCATGATCACTTACCCATATCAGGTACCGCTAGAGTTTTGAAAGTGTCATGACTGATCTACAGATCATCTTAGGCAACCCCTGATTTATGTCATTCTACCATAAATGACCTTCAAATTATTGGTGTTTCAGGTCATTCGGTCACGCTTGCAGGTGGACAACCAACCCACCACCCACTTCTTCTCATTAGCTTCCATTTTTAGTCGAAAAAACCTGACCTTCTTTCAAAATCCTGTGCAGCAAAGACCCAGACTCGACGGCTCTCCCAAGTATTCAGGCAGCTGGCATGTCCTGAAGGAAACCTTCAGGTGGGATCATCCATCCCTTAATTCTCAACCCATGGGGATTTTTTTAATTAAAAAGTGGTCATTATGTATGTCCATATATATATATATGTATGTATGTATGGCTTCTCCATGATTCCAGGTCGGGATCCGGTCCAATTTGGGATGTTTGACCGGATTAAGGATCGGATATGTATGGGTGATGCAGGTTTGAGGGTGTTCGAGGATTCTACAAGGGGATCACATCCACCCTGCTGAAGAACGCCCCCGCCGCCTCGATAACGTTCGTTGTCTACGAGAAGACCCGGAGCCTGCTCGGCCTGGCCAGAAGTCAACGCTGAGGCATTGTTTCTGTTCATTCTTTCAAAGGCGGGGGGGGGGGGGCTTCTTTGGGTAGCAATCAAGGCGAGGGTTGGGCATCTCTCATCTTTTATTTTGAACTCGGATGTTCCATTATCTGATACATATTTATATATGCTTATTACTCTAAGTGTCTCAATGAGGGCAGAGAGAGAGAGAGAGAGAGAGGCCTTCAGTGCTACCTGTAGCTCCTCATAACATTAGCTATCTTCAAAGAAGTATGAGCAACGACGCGGCGGACCCAGTTTGATCAGGACATCCACCCCGCTTATTGAGGCTGGCTATTGTCGACTAAACAGGGGCTGGTGGGAGAGGGCGGTGACCGCCATACTAGTCAGTAGCTTCATGGCTGGCATGGGAAGCATATCCCATGATCGGAAGCATTTTGGTGTAAAGATATTCTGCTGCTTCTCCTTCCAATACTATGGAAAATATTCATTAAATGGAAGTCTCTCTACAAAGAGCTCATGGTGGTTTGGTGATTTGGGTTAGGAATGATGATGATAATCGGCCTTGCTGCAATCATATTTAACCCTTGCAAAGCGCAACGATTGCGGATTGGAACGCATCACGCAGAGAAACACAGTCAAGGGAGTAGTTGATCTCAAGATCTTTCACCTGCTCTGGCCGAGTGCTTCCAGCTCAAAGCTTGACGAGCTTCTTTGTGATCGAAAGTGGACTCGAGGATGAACCTTTAGATGCCATTCAGGCCACTGAGGAAAATGCAAAAATGGCCGAGTATGGTAGCTTATTAGCGTATGTGAATGCAAGGTAGAACTGAAAAATGAGCGCAGGGGGTTCAAACCGGAGCCAAGGTTCAGAAAAATGACTTCAAAGAAGTGGTATCTAAGACCGCGGTTGCCTTGTAAGGGGACCCTATTTATAGCCCTAGTGGGAAAAGAGGTGCCCAAGTCAGGAACGCTTATAGTAGCTGACATTGAGAGCCCAAGAACTGCTCCAAGTGTCGGGGACGAATACGTTGAGGAAGAAATGAGGAACAGATATTTCTTCCAATCGACGTCATCTGCACCAGCGTCGGGCTCAGGGGATTATTCAATCCAAATGCTTGATCGAAAACCAAGATGACTACCCAGAAGTCGGCAATTGACAGATCTCGAAATATGGGAGGTTGGTGTACACAGCTAGTTTTTCATTAAGATGACTATGCGAGAAGCGTTGGAAACGTCTGATGGTGTGAATCTCCAGGTTTCAGAGAAGATATCTGGTTTGAATACTGCACTAATATCACAATGGTCGCATGAGATGAGCCAATAGCTTTCTTTATCCAAGTCAATGAAGCCATTGTCAGCTTTACATCTTTAACAGTGAATATGTATCTGTCATCATAAGTTGTTGATAGCGTATGATGCTTCCAGCTGAGTCCTGGCGCGAGAAATCTCTTTCTGCAGAGACCGCAGGCGGCGCTGAAGTGGGGATATATAGGCACATCCTGTATTTTGTGATTCTTCAAGTACTTTTAACGTTTGTGTCGATGAATATCATGGCACCGCAGGAAACGGCCACGTCCCTGCAGACTGCTTCATCAAAGATGACGATACGAGAAGCATTGGAGACATTTGGTGGCTTGAATCGTCAAGTTTGAGAGATATCTGATGGATTGAATGCTTGCTCGAGATGAGCCATTAGTCTTTGACACGTCCAGAGAGCCATCATCTTGAAGTTTAGTAGTGAGTGTCTGCTTTTAGTTGACAGCACACACGCGAAATCGAGGAGGGACGAGACTCTTGAGTTGTATTGTGGAAAACATGGATGATAATTTCAATGAAGCATAATCGATGAAAGGCCGACTTAGTTATCTTTCTATGTATCAACATTGGTGCTAAATATATTTAAACTTTTTGCTAGGTTGAGCAATAAATTTTCCGAACTGTGGGGACGGCATAAGCATCTAGTCTTTTTAGTTTCCTTTGCTTGTTTAGAGAAAGTGTATGAAATAATGAAAGCCATCGTCGGATGAAATACGGAAGTGCGCTAATAGATGAATAAGTATAAGTTTTAAAGATCAAACTATACTTATTGGAAAAGAATATGGACCACAATGTTTACGAATTGCGTGCAAGTCAGGAAAACGGAATGTAGAGGATCAAGGCGAGTGCTCCTTTTAAAACATTTTAGAGATGGATGTCAACTCCTTGAAAGACGGACGTGTGTAGAAGCTCTTCCTCCTACATGTTGCGTTAAATGTCTCATGAAACAACAAGGATGAGCGTCAGCCCTGCGGCATATAGAAATTTCCTTAAAAAAGAGCGTGATGATTCAATGACATCGCTTACAACAGGTACCCAAACATGTCACGTCTTGTAAAACTTACAAAATTCAACCAGATAACAATAAGGAAACCCTAATGAGATGAACAATTGTAGCATGCAGGATCCCTTCTAGGCAAGAGGTGCAACCATGCTTAACAATGAGCAAATTGGCAGCTCAAGGTTAACTGGACTTGACGAATCCAAGCTGTGCTCGGAAGGTGAATGGATAATGATGTGCTTTAATATCTCCTAGCTGAAGAGGTTTGCGACTGAATGGTGCATCCTTGGTGACAAATTAGTTTGAACGGGCATGGTTTTGATCCATCAACAATGCCTAGATCACGACGTATAGGACGCAGAAGAAATTGTGCTTTCAACACTAATGAGACGTGTTAGGGAGTGTTTCAACGTTGGAAATGATTGATGTTGAGAAATTAAGATCAATAAGCAACCATACTAAGTAGTATCATAACCGTAGTCACAATATTACCAGGAAGACAATTAGGATGCCAAGAACCTGTATTCCTTGGTGCATAATCTATCATAGGATCGGAATATCATCACAAAAAGTCCCTACTCGTGAAAGAAAATAAATCATGTTCATCTCAAAGCATCCCGGTTGGAGGAGAAGAACGTTGTTAATTCTGCCTCTGATCTTGATAGTAAGGGTGATGATTTGTGGGGCTGTGGAACTGCTGCGGAGCCAGAGCCAGCACCGTAGGCGGGCCCCCTCCAGAGTTCATTATTCCCTCGTTATACCTCATTGTGTCGAGTTGCTGGTGGGGATGGGCACCGAGATTTTGATGCTGATGTTGATGTTGGTCGCCGCCTTGGAGCACATCCTGTTGCTCTGTGATCTGCATCGGGTGATGGTACGACGGCTCCAGCGCCGTCGGCATCGGCGGCAGGGTTATCCCATCTAAGCTCGCCTGAGGATGGAGAGCTTGGATCTCCCTCTTGATCACAGCATTGGTCTGTTGTATTTCCTGTAGCTGGTGCTGGAGGGTCAGGATGTACCCCAGGCACCCGTGGACGGGGTCCTGGAGCTGCACCTCGGCCTCGAAACAGAGGGAAGTCACGGCGTCCCGCCGGCCAGCCGGCGGGAGGTCGTTCAGGATCTTGGCCACGTTGCTGGCTCCGAACACTCGGTGCACGTTTACGAACCTCGCCGACTCGTCCTGCGGGAAGTAGGGTGCGAAGACGCAGCCGGGGACGCACTTTCGCCGCAGGAATTTGCACGCCGCGCATGGCGAGCTCGAAGACGACGCCATAGCTAGACCTGTCTCTCTCCCTTCCCCTCCCTCTTTCTTTCTGCCTCTCACTCTCTCTCTCTCTCTCTCTCTCTCTCTCTCTTCCTTCCCCTCCCTCTTCCTTCCTTTCTCCCTCTTTCTCCCCCTCTCTTACCTTCCTCCGAAGATATTACCGGTCGAAAGGTGTATCGTGGTGCGGGGATTACGCTTGAGTTAATTCAGGTATTGATCTCTTCGTTGCACCGTTCGCTAACCGAACTTATCGGCCGCAGCAAGACCGGGCGTGTCACGTGGCCTTCGTCCGCCTTACGCTGCCGAGCGTCACCCTGGAGTGGTGGTGGTACGAGCTGATGACGCTCGCCGTCGTCACCCTGGGGACGTCGGCCATCGTCATACAGAAACTACGTCCCTCCTCTACGTGCTGCCGGCCACCCTCAGCTCGTCGGCGTCCGCGCGGGTGGGGAACGAGCCTGCGCCGGGCAACCCCCAGGGCGGCCGAGGTGGCGATGGGTCTGGCCGCCGCGGCGTCCCTCGTCCGTCTCCTCTGGACGGTCCTGGGGAGGCACCTGTGGGGCAGGGCCTTCAGCACCGACGGACTAAGTCCTCCATCCGGCGCCTCCTACCCATAATCGGCCTCCGCGAGCCCGCCAACTGCCTGAAGACCGCCGTGTGCGGCATCCTCGCGGCAGTCGAACCCCATTAGCCCGACCTTCGGCGCCACTATCAACCTCGACTCGTATCCGGTGGGCACGTGACTCATTACGTTAGCACGTGGCCCTTATATTCAGAAGTCGAACTCCATTTAATGCGGAGAGAAGTGGGGTCTATGAGGAACGAGTCCCAAGATGATCGCTTGGTACATTTCCTAGGGTGACTCTTTTTATCATATTCCAAATCTGTGTTGGGTTAAGAGTTACTTGTGAATTCAGTTGAGAGCCAAGATAGATTTATTATCTGAGTTTTTAATGTGTTCTTTTGTACTTTTTTCACACAACAAAATTTTTATTGTTCCCCATAGACATACAAGGCCGAACTCAAATCATGTAAAATCTTTGTCCATATTTTGGTTGTGAGTTGTTTATTTTCTATTTTATTCAACTTTCACAAGTTTGTATTAGGCTTTTCAATTTAACAACTAGTATCAAAGTGCAGTTAAATATGGAGATAGAAAATATTTATTTTATGATTAACTTCAATATAAATAATTGAATAATATAAAAACTAAGGACGGAAGTTCACTTGTATTACAAGGACTTATATAAATCTATACAAAGAGATAATGTAAAACCAAAGGTGACATTAGTTGATGGTTAGAAAAAACTAGAATAGAAGACTATTGGCTTCATTAGACAATGACTTGATGATGATACATCCATAAAGAGCTCCCCATGCTCTCTTGGAAAGAAGTTAAAAAGTCTTTATGAGAGAAAGATAGTAAGTAACAATGATTACAACTCATTGTATCATGATAGAGATTAATTAATTAGCAATATTCTACATCTTATTCAAATGCTCAACAATAGAAGAATCCTCATACTTTAGATTAACAAGTTTTCTAATCAAGAATGTCTTGTTACATATTTTATTTATCTCATAAAGAATTTCTAGCTTCTTCTAAAAAAAGTGTGTAGTGTTCTCCATGAATATATGGTGAAAAAAATACTATCATTGATTTATTGCCTAATGAAGCCACTAGTCTTTCAATCTAGTCTTTTTCAAACATCAACTGATGTCACCTATGATTTTGCACTACTTCTTTGTACAAGTCTATACAAGTCTTTTCAATATAAGAGATCATTCATCCCTAGTTTCCATATTATCTAGTTATACCTATTTAGGTTAATCATACAAGAAACATTTTCTACCTCTATATTCAAACATGCTATAATACCATTTGTTAAAGTAAAAAACTCAATATGAACTTGTGAAAGTTACATAAGGTAAAAAAATAAAAGCAAACAATTCAGAGTTACACTATGGTCATCTATGGTATGTAATATGTAGTCATCTATGTGAAATCTGTTAATGTAGTCTTCGTAAAGTCATCTATGGTCTCAAACAAAGCCCTCAAGCTTAGTTTATCAAATTCAATACCCTCATTTGATAGTGTGATTTCTCAACATGTAAAGTGGAGCTTACAGTTTCTCACAAGACCATCGCAAATAAGTGCATTATTTTTGCCATCTATGTGGACAATATGATTATCACAAGAAGTGATATGGTCGGCATTCAAGATATTAATATATTTCTTCACAAACATTTGGATATCCAATACTTAAGGATGTACTTCTTAGGCATAAAGTTTGCCTACCGCCTAAGGAAGATTGTCATCAACCAACACAAGTATGTACTTGATCTTTTGTAAGAGATGAGACTACTCAGATGCAAGTCGTATGCATCTCTGATTAAAAGTTGGCCCAATTTCTAAGACTTGACCTCACCTCTCTTTGCTAATCCTCACCCATATTGACGTCTAGCTAGAAAGCTCATTTATCTCATTGTCGCATAACCTGACATTACCTATATAGTGAATCTTATCAATTAGGTTATGCATGAACCTCGATACAATCATTAGGAGGCTGCCCTCTAACTTCTCACCTATCTCAAATATACTTTTAGATGAAGAATTACTTTTCACCAACACAAACATCTCTATGTGGTTGACTACCTAGACTCTAATCTAGTTGGTGATTGGGCACATCAGAAGTCTACCACAAGCTATTGTATCTATGTTGGAGGAAATCTTGTGGCATGGTCTAGTCACAAGCAACAAGTCCCTTGCTCCTCCAACACTGAGGTTGAATATTGGGCCATGATGAATATGTCATCATATATGCTTTGGGTGCGCAACCTACTTCAGGAGTTTGACTATCTAGTGTAAGGTGCTATGCCTATATATTGTGGTAATCAACCAACAATCTTCATAGAAAATAACTTAACTTTTGACCTGTGCACCATGCATATCAAGATTGTATGTCACGCCATCTATCATCGACTTTTGAATGAGATTATCTACACTCCACATATGACATCTTTAGAGCAACTTACGGACATCCTCACCAAAGGTATACAGGTTGCATCATATAATACCTTTTCACGTAAGCTGGGCTTAGTCGACATTTACACTCCAACTTGAGAGAGAATGTGAGTAGGAAGGCCTATAATAGGCCACTTGGCCTTCCCACAGCTCTTGACCCTTCACCTTCTTCACTCCACTATCTCTTAGCCTTTCTCTTAGTAGTTGTCTTCTCACTTGGTTCTTTGTCTTCCTCTTTCTCTCTATGTAAGGACATGTACTCCTATTTTCTTAAGCCAAACATATTTTATTTGTGTACAAGAGTCTTTGAGGTTGTGAACATTACATAATAATCCTCTTGAATACTCAAAACTTCAACACACCATTGTCGTAATGCCAAAAGTTTATTTTATCTTTTTAAAATAATCTAAACTTGTATTATCATTTTTAGGACTTTGACAAGAGATCTAATGAATGCCCAAATTGTCCATGTCTAAGGAGGGTCTTTGACGTCTTGGACATTATTTGATAATTCACTCGAACACCTAAAATTTTGACGATCACTGTCACAAGACTAGAACTCTACTTTTTCTATTTTCAACTTAATTTTTTACTTTATTTAATGATACTTTGTGTGATTTCAAGCTTTGAAATTATAGTTCTTCTAGCTTTTATAGGTCTTAATTTGATCAATTAATTCATCTATAATTACTTATACAAAAATCATTTAATAGAACTCTATTACTACCCTATTTACATTTGTCGATCTGCTAATATCATCTTGACATCCACACCTTTTTGCAAATTTTAAATATATTTTATCTTTATTATTAAGTCTTAAAATTATATAAAATCATATAATTTATAAAAAATAAAATATTACTAATATTATATTACTTTCATTTGATTGACTTGATTTTTTTAATATTATTTTTATAAATTTTATTTAATTCTAATTGATATATTTATTTTAAAATATTTCTAAATATTTAAAAATTAGTATTTAATACTTTTAGAAATATTCAAATTTACGTGGTTTATTATACAACAACTAAGTCACATAAGTGAACATTTTAATTATATACATAAGACTTCCTATAACTACTACGTAAGAAATCTTATGTATTTCTTTAGCCTCATAATCACTTTTAAAAATTGATGAGGACTAAATTTGTTGTTTTTACCTACAGATTATCACTTAGTTTACAATCTTGCATGTCAAATCTTTTCAAAAATTTATTGATATAACATTTCTATGATAACCCAAGGCTATTTTAAGATCAATCTTTCATCTTTGTATATTTGTGTGCTTAATATAAGAGAGGCTTTAATGAGATCTTCATCTCAAAATTTCTTAACATAAAACTTTTAATATCACATAATAAGTTTATATCATTATTGACAAGTAATTTTTTATCAACATACACATCAATAAAATTTAATTACTTTCATTATACCTATGACATACATAATCCTCAATTACATTCATCTTAAAATCAAATGAGATGATAACTTAATGAAATTTATGATATCATTCATGAAAAGTTTGCTTAAGTCTATAGATGATTTTTTTTTTAATTTACATATTGATAAATTTTCATTATCATGAGTTAATAATTAATAAATATAATAGTTTTCGCCTTAACTCATGATAAATAGATGTGTTTATTTATTTAATTAGGTGTGAGCTCCACTATTTTTGTAGTCAATTTAGTTCAAACTAAATTAAATAATAAAAAGGGGCTATATTTATGTTAAATTGTGAAAAGTTATTTTCAGTTAATAATTGTGATGTTTTAGCTAAATATGTGATTTTATGTGATTTTATATAATTTTTATAATCTTATTTTTGAGATAAATGAAGAAAAGAATACATATTCTCTAAGTCTCTTGACTCAAAATTTTCTAGTTGCAACATATAACTTGCCTCATTAATATCACCATTGAAAAATATAATTTTTACATTTGATATAACTCAAGATCAAAATGTGTCACATGTTATTATTATTCTAAAAGAGTTTTTCCAAAAAACAAGAGAGAAAGTCGTTTTATAATTGATGAGTAATTTCTTAGCGACAAGATGAGTCTTATATCTCTCTAAACTACCTTTTAAATCCTTTTTAGTTTTAAATATCTATTTCCAACTAATAAGTTTTCTACCTTTAGTAATGTAATGAGATTTCAAACATTAGTATCCTACATAAATTTAATATCTTCCTTCATAGATTCCTTCTATTTTTAATAATTAGAACTTTGCATAACCTAATGAAAGTTGATTAAGTAATCTTCCATGATTATAATAGAAGTCTCATGTTCTTGAAAAAATACATCATAATCATCTAAATTTTTACTTCTCTTTTCCCTAGTAGATCTCTTTAGTATGACTTATTTTTAAGAGTGTTGAGTTCATTCTTATGAGATAATAGGTATGAGAATATTATTTTCATATGGTATTACTTCTCAAACAAAGTCAAATAAAATTTAATTCTGATCATTGTCAATAGTAATGAGAGGAATTGAGATGTGTTACTCTTCAAAAATAAATTCTCTAACCCTATCCTCCTTTACTAACACAATTTTCTCAAAAAACTAAATATTAATAGTGGGGTCATAAAATTTATACTCTCTTGACCTTACAAGATATCTAAAAAAATAGTAATTAATAGGTATGGAGTCAAGCTTTCTTTCAATAGACTTATAGGGTCTTATCTCTACCTGATATGTAAATGTTTTATACTAGGCTTTATGTTCATCCAAAGCTCATGAGAGGTTTTGATAATTACTTTAGTTGAAATCCTATCAACAAATTTCTTGTTTTTAGTGATTCATTTTAGAGGTTATCTAGTAAAGTAGATTGAGTAATCATACACTCTATTATGTGTTGAAGTAATTGATTTCGTCACTCGACAACATCATTTATGTTAGAAGATTTTGGTATTATATATTAATAGATAATACCACACTAAAAATTTAGTAAATTGCCTTATAAATTATTTATATGATATATCATATATATTATAGTATTAATCACCACAATCTGATTTGACGGTCATAACTTTTTGTTGAGTTGATTCTCAACTTCAAACTCATAATTCTTGAGCACATCTAAAGATTGAAACTTCTTCTTAATGTGATACAGATAACTATGTTGAGAGTAATAATCTATGAATGTAACAAACTATAGTTTACCATTCTATATATATATTAATTTTAAAAATATTTCAAGCTCAATTAGAACATGTTCTCTTTTTTTTTTTCTTTGATATAATTAACATATGTCAAAATATTTATGATCACGTGTGTTAAGAATTCATTAAGACTTAAGTTGATCAATTCTCTTTTTAAATGTATGACTTAACCTTTTGTATTATAATGTATGACTTATCCTTTTTATTGATTTATTTTCTTTTGTTACTCTTTGAACTTTCTATAAGATTTCATTAAAAATATTACATAAATATATATATATTATCACAACTTGATAAAGAGTCAATACCAATATAGTCTGAATCTTTAAATATACTTACTTTCTATTTTTAGATAGACAAATATAATTAGATTTATTTAAATTAGAAATAAAAAGAATTATTCTATGTTAAAGACTGTACAACATACATCTTATTAAATCTAAATAGTGACCAATCTTTAAAGATAATCTAAAAGTCTTTACAATCTCTACTTTAACTTTATTGTCATGACCTATATAGATGTATCTTTCAAGATCAAATGGCTTAAAAGAGTGAAGTCAGCCTTGCATATACATATTTATGTGAATAGTAACACTCTCTAAACAAATAAATGTGAAAGCTCACCTTTTTTAAAATGTCAAATAATATACTTAGAGCAATCTCTTTTTATGTGTCCTCCATGCTTATAGAATAAACAATAAAATTCAGTATATTACTTCATCTGTATTTTTCTTAAGGATGGAGAACATATAGTCTCTGTCTTTATATCAAAGGCTCTCTTCAAGACAAAAGAGAGATGGAAAAATAAGATTGATTGAATTACTTTTCTTATGATCATTAAGTGTGCAATTCCAAAAGCCTTTAGGGGTACTTTGTCTAAAAAAGTCAAAACTATAAAAGTTTTCCTTGATGAAATAGATAAAAAAAAAATTAGTTAAAATGATAAAATTCAAATAAGTTCACTTCTAACAAATCTTTTCTAGAAAATACAACAAGGGAAATATAAAGGAGTATATCTTAAAATGTCACATCTTACAACAAAACTAAAGACACTAAGTCTAGAGGTATCAAAAGAGCTATCATAAGACAAGCAATTTGATCAAATTTCCTTTTTCTATCTCTCTTTTGTCCTCAAGAGAACCTTTACATTGATCTACCCTAAACGTAAGGTCGACATTTACCATACCTAGAGAAATTATGAGACTTTATTTTTATTTTTATTTTTAAAAATTTGTTCTATTAAGCATCAATACTAGTAGAAACACTTGCATCTAAACTTGAAACTACATGAAGAACAACACAAAATACTCAAATAAACTAAAGTTCAAATAATGATATATCCCATCACAAGATATTTATTACAACATCAGTATCACATCTTTGGATGACAATGTTAACTATAAATGATATCTTGGTGTTATTAATAAGTACAAATAATAAGTTTATGACAAACAATAAGCCTTTATTTATATTGACTTATTATTTGCATAACATACTGAATAATTGTCATGTATTTATCATGACAAGTATATACAATTCAGCCAAATATTGGATTTGTCATTTGGGCCAATTAGTATCCACATGAATCACATATACAACCATCTTAATATTCTAGAATAAATAATTTTAATAAGAGAGACCATTTTGGTAGGACGTTGTGTCAATTATGTATTCTAGAATATAAAACCATACCAAAATATGATTCCATGAAAGTCATTGTTATTTAATCATGCTTAATGTAAAGCATTATCATTGAGAAATCAAATAACTCCATAATACTTTCTGAAATAAACTTCACAAACTATAATTTTAGAAATAACTTAAATGACATCAAAATCTGAATTATGGGTGATGACATCAGAAGATCGAATGATGACGCTATCATCATGCTATATCGGCCTGAACCGGCACACCGGCTAACCAGATCGAGCCGACCCGGCATGCTCATTCCAGCCACCTGAGCCGCCAACCCTCATTTCAGCCGCCTTAGCAGGTGCAGCGTGGCGCGCCGTCCCTCCCACTCGGCTTGACCTGAGATGGTGCAGCCGCAGCTGTTTCGATCCGAACCGGCGCAGCCGCCTCTACCACTGAACTGGCGCATGGAGAAAGGAGATCATAGACTGAGAGACGGGGAGGGGCGAAAGGGCGAACCGGCTGTGGCCTTTTCGGCCCAAATGGCCTCACATTTTCCACAGGCCCAACGGCCCATACGCTTTCCGTCTTGCCCTAGGTCGGTTCCCGAATGGGAACCGCCTTTCTCCGCCGCCTCCGTCGACGGCCCTCCGGTACCACCTTTTGACTCTCTGCCTTCCAGCAACGCCTTCCAGCGCTACCTCCGGCACCGACTTACACGCGGCGCTCCTACGCCACTGTCCTCCACCTCTTCGACGTCCGTAACCGCCTTTCGGCATCCGGAGCCACCTTCTCCCATCCTCACCGTCGTCCAAGGACGAGAGGGGAGAAAGAAGAAGGAGATGAAGGGGTGAGTCCTACGACCTGATGATTTCCGGTATAGAAATCGTTCCTTCAAAAGTAAGGAGAGAGAGAGAGAGAGAGAGAGAGAGAGAGAGAGAGAGAGAGGATGAACGGCTCAGGAACCCATCTGCATGGGCTGAATAGCTCAGGAGTCCGTTTGTGGTACTCTATGACCAAATGGGATACCACAACGAAGTTCTATGCGATTCAAAACCCATGTTGATGCCTCAATCCACCTAGAACCTTATGACAGTGATTATCGGGCTGATTCTGGGTCCACTCTTATTCTTAAACATCACTTATTTTAGAAAGTGATATGTATAAGATATCATTTTCCAAGAACTCAACACATCAAGCGCTGATACCGCTTGATGGGGATATTTCAAGAACTCAACACCAGTCCGCCACCGCCACATCAGTCCATCCACTGTAGAACATCAGAGGGGTTTTCCTATAAGTGCCCTCCATTTTTTTGGATTTTGTTAAAAACTAATGTCTAACTGAGGCCTTCGACTATCATAATACTGCACATAAAAATTAAAAAAAGATGCGTTGACCTCCTGCTGTTGACCTTTGATTCCATCAATCACGATACTACTAAAATTTGTGGCGATAATATCATAGGTCAAGAAACGGCCACGTCCCTATTGCGTGCAAAGTCAGGAAAATGCCATCAACTAGTACGAGCAGCAGGTCGTCATCGATCGCGTCAACTCTCGAGAGAAGTAGAGAGTCAACGGTTGGGTGAACTAGAGGGAGAGTAATGCAGCAGGTGCCCGTGTTCTTACGTATAGAAGGAGCAAACCTCAGCTCAATCGAGTCGACAGGTCATTTCCTCATCCTGTATATTTTTCCATTTGCAAAGAGTTCATGTTCTGCTCAATACGATTACTCAGGTACATTACCATGGAGATGGGGACTCAAAGATCTGCCTCCGAAGAACAAGTCTCTGAGGATAGGAACTTTTTAGAGCATCCTTTTTATGGTAACTAATCGGTCCGATCTATATCATGTTTTGCTGTCGGAAAGAGAAGATCACCCAATTTTGGTAGCAAGATGCTGACTTTAATGAATGCGTTACAAGCAGCTGACTTCGGTAAAAAATTTCAAATGCCACCTTTAAATAGATTCAAGGTATACCCATCGTTTCTACGAACAAGTCAAAGGAACATTTAAAATGGCCCCAGCTGGGTCTGACTTGATATCTAGCCCTTGAAAATTGGGAGCGTGATGGAGAAGATCGAGGATGAATGCCCCCGCCCAGAAGTCAACGCCTGGTAGTAATCTCAACCACCCAGAAGAGCAACTGAACGATTTCAGATAACCTGCAGTTCCTGAACCGAAAATGGGGGTAGATCAAGATCTAGGAACATCCCCACATCAACGAGTGGTCATCGCTGGCACAAGAGACCGATGGGCCCGTTTGAAACTCACCTGCATTAATTATCAAGCCATCACCAAAAAAGAAAAACAGAAAAATGGGATATATGATCGAATCAGGCATACAAGGGATTAGACATACCGTAATGTGACGCATAAACTGCCTACTTGGCGGGCTTTTTCAAAAGATGGAACTGGTTGCCCAGCTTAGACTCACAGGTGGAGTATGCCTCTGGCGTCAACTGCTTGGTGAAGGACTTGAGGAGGTTGTGAGAAGTCAACGCGTCCAGGATCTTGCAGCAGAACCGGCGGACCTCAGCGCGTCGAGACTGTTTCTCAGGGAACCTGCTCAGCAGCTGGCAGATGAGCCTGGAGAACGAAGGCACATGCTTCTTCAAGAACTTGGAACCATCGTTCCTGGCATCACCCTTTTGGGAGAGGGCTAGCGACTTCACCGCAGAGTCCACCAGCTCGAGGGCCTCGATGCGTCTGAACTCTGACTTGGCCCCGTTGCACTTTTCCAAAAGTAGATCGAAGAGCTGGCGGGCGACCCAGGGGTGGCGGCGGAAGACTTCCTTGATGAACACGGACTTCACCCGGGACTTCTTGTTGTCAAAGTAGTCGTCGAGGAGGCGGCGCAGGATCTCAAACACCTGCTCCATCTCAGAAGGGGGGAAGCCACCTGAGTTTATGATCTTCAGGAGCCAGAAGGCAGCATTTTCAGCCACCAAGGAGACCGCATTAATCCGGGACCGGAATGCGAGTCTCAGGCTCTTCCCTAGCAGAGCCTCCAGAGTGGAGATCTCCACTTCGCTTCCCTTTGGGCACTCCTTCCCCCTGAAGATTTTCTTCTGCATAATCCCCCTGATCCTCTCTCCCAGCTGCTTCCTCCCGTCAGATGAGTGGGAATTTACAAAGACTTGGATCAGATAAGAGTACACCATCACCACCCGAGGATTGCCTGGATTACGAGAAACGAACGCATTAAAATCAAATCACTAGGCTCAATGCAGATTTGAAGGAAGAGCAAGGTCGTCAATTCAAACCGTGTTCCTAACCTGGATTCCTTTGAAGGTATATCTCCAAAAGGGTTAAGACTCGGAGTTTGAACAGGTTGAGCTGGGACTGGGCAGTGTCGCTCCCAGCAGAGTCCCTCCGCTCTTTTATAAGTTGAGCAATGTAGGAATCCATGAGGAACATGGCGTCATCATCCATGTCGCTTTCATAGGCATCAGGCGCTGAAGGCTCCTCCCCCTTTTCATTGTGCTCCTCGGCAGCCTTTGCACCAGTCACTGCCTCAGAATCATCCACACCATCGTCACTATCCTCGCTTCCGAGGGTCTTGGGCTCGTTGGCCTCCTCTGTATCTTCAATTCCAAAAAGGTCCTCGTCGTCATCATCGCTATCATCATCATCAGCATCAGCCACCTGGCGGCGAGGGGGTTTTAGATCCTTCTTCACTATGTGCAGAATCCGGAGCAGCCCGTCATCAGTAATATCATCGCAAAAAAACCTAAAAACCTGGCACAAAAGAACAGCAAAACAGATGAACTGATCATGCCGAACCTACAAGCAGCTATAATCACTAAGTATTAACTTAAAATACTCCAGGAGATTCCACGGTCCAAAATAGAAATTTAGCAATAACAAAGGAGCAATCATTTTTAAGTAGATAACCATTCAAAAACGGCCGTTATAAAATAATGTTACAAATAGATATTACCAGGTACGAGCCAGATTATGAGTTACCTGCTCGATGGCATAGCACATGGGACTTGAAGACTGAGGTACCAGCGAGAGCAAAGTGTCCATGAGAACGTCCATTAGTTCTGGGGAGCCATCATCATCTATCTCTTCTTCCTCATCAACGGATTCAAGTTGGGTCACTCCAGGAAAAGCCTTTTTACAGCATATGATGAGCTCCGCTGCAGCATCAGAAAACTCTTGTGGGCGGAGGACAAGTTGCAACAGTAGTTGGATGAGAAGATATCGTAGCGCATGCAACTTATTTGCTTCTAGGCCGTGGCCAATCCTCCGTTCCTGTGACAAAAAAATGGTTCGAAGAAGACGTGTGAGAATAATGAATTTGGAAAAATCAGGGGAAATATAAAATTTCAAATCTTCATTTTTTTTATATATTAAACGGAGACTTTTGAGTAGAAATGAAACCAACTCAGAGGATTTCCTCCGCCAACAAAACCAATGATTTAAAATCAGAATCAAACACAAGAGGAGGTGAGATCCTTTGTGCTCACAGAGCGAGCCTAATTTGGAGAGATCAACCCCCCCCACAAGAATTTAAAGAAAGGATGATCATTGGCAGGAAAAGCTAAAGTCAAGATGCTACTGCTGCTATCAGTAATACCTCCTGATAAAGCCTGGTCTCCATGGCCAGCAGGTTCTTGAATGCCTTCTCGTCTTCGTTGCTCAGAGCCCGGGAAAGAGAAACTGATGGGATATTGCACATTGTGTTGAGGAAACACATAAAGAATGATCCGAGGTCGTTAGAATCGGGACTACTGGGTAATAAGCGCGACTCATCTCCTTTCTGTGCATCCTCAATTAATAACTGGAGTTGCTCAATGCAGGACCTGCATAAGGAACTGGAGGTGGCAACTTTAGGCCATGTAAACTTCTCCTGGAGTTCAAAAGATGTCACTTCAGTGCCCAGAGATGCAGAAAACAAGCCCTGAACGGCCAGAAACTTAATGATGTCCGCTTGCAGCCGAAACTTTGCTTCGACAAGCTTCACAGCTTCCTCAGGATCAGAAGGATTTGATACAGGGTTGATTTTCAGAGTCTTCAAAACCCGGGGCAAGGAATCTATAATCCAATTCTTCAGAAAATCTGTATTGCCCAGGATTCCTGCTGGATCCTTGCCCTCTGGGGAGTCCCTTTCTGAATTTTCATCAGTGGTCTGGCTGGCGTCTGAAGGTTCATCTGCGAGTCCACTTTCATCCACAAACAAGCTCATCAAGTTCTGAACGAGAAGCACTCGGCCAGAGCAGGTGTGAAATCTTGAGATCAACCCCCTGACTGTGTTGGTCTGTGTAATGCAATCAAATCTACAATTGCTGTGCTTCGCAATGGATAATATGACTGCAACACGCCGATCATCATCATTCCCAACCCAGCTCACTAATTCTCCCATAAATTTTTGTGCTGCGCTATACAGCCATGAGCTCTTTGTAGAAAGGATATCCATTAAGCAGTGAACAAGTTTGTGAGAAAGAACGACTTCAATGAATATTTTTGGCAGCCTTGGAAGGAGAAGCAGAAGAATATCAAACACCAAATGCTTCCGATCATGAGAAGATAAAAGAAGGGAGCCCTCAATAACAACCTCATGGAAACAACGGAAATTTTTAGCAATTTCTTCAGAAGAGTTTGATTTCCGTGTCCTCTTCTGCTTCTTACTCGAGTTTGGATGTGATGAAGAATCCTCATCATGAGACACCACAGCCGGTAGGAGGATATTGAGCAATACATGCCATATGCCGTGGACCCTAGGCAAGCAGAAAGTCGATTCCTGATCAAGGAGAAAAAACCTCCATCAATTACGTACTGCAAGAGAAAACTCAAAACATACATACGCCTTAAGCTTCCTAATATAAAACAACAGACAACTGAATGCTTAGAATTTCACATCATACAATCGTAGTAATAGCCAAAGAAAGACATTGATTACTAAATTTCACAGTATAAACGTTTAAAAATATTTTTTGGATAGGCCTTCAGGAGAAAGGACCCAGTAATACCTTAAAACAGGGTAAAAGAAGAGAGAGATGCTCTCTAGAGAAGAAGACGTTTGCACTGAATGGATATGGCAGGAGCTTCCCAAATACTGAGCCTCTGGAGCGGACTTTCTCTTGCAACCTCAAGGCCAACAATAATGCATCGGGGTCTCCCACTTCAGGGGCTTTCTCAAACCATTCGCGTAAGCCATCACTCTTGATTACTTGATCCAATAAAACTTCCACAGGAAGCTACGAAACCAGAAGAAAGAGAATGGTATATATAATCAGATATTCTAGGTTAAAGACGACATAACAAGCAGAAGAACCCAGAAGAACAGGGTTTAAGATTAGATTCGCAGCAAGTAAAACAACGGGAGGGTTTGAAGATGCTTCAGATGTAAACTCACTATTAATCCTAAACTAACAAGACACAGATAGACGGCATACCTCCTCAACCAAATCCAGGATGACTGAAACTGCAGGTTCTCGCAAATAGCGCTTCTTGCCAGCGAGTATGGTAACCTGGGCAAGGATTTCCTTGATGCTAGTTGAGCTTTTCTGAGAAGCCCATTCTGCAGCTACTCTCCCAGATCTAGCGAGAGCCCCATAAGCAAAGAGACGACCAATAAGGCTGTCTCTAACCTCCTACAGGGACACAAGAGAAAACAGTTAGTTATTGCACGCAAACTGCAACAAAGTGGAACCCTTTGCTGAATAACTTAGAAGGAGAGTACAAACCTGACCCTTCCTAGACGATGAGACCTCGAGGAATTGAAATACCAGTTTCATAATTGAATCCACTCTGATTGCAGGAACCGAGCCGACCACAACGGTTAATCCCAATGCGAATCCTTGTCTAGCGCACTGCACATACAGGAACATGAAATCATCACCCAAACCCCAAGAGTTAGAGGTTCCAAAACCACATTATCAAAGCTTAAATAGCCACGCAGAAACACGCATTTCAGAAATATATTCAGTATTGCAACACAGAGATGCTTCTCTGAAGCGAAAACTAAAGAATGTGTCATTCCTTTCTCAGGGGAAGCTTCCAGCAACTAGATTAAGAATATTAACAGAACACTTTCTCCGAGGTTTTTACTCAAAGCCTCAGACCTTACCTCTCTGGAAGAGGCGAGCCCACGGATTAGCCGCCGGACGGCGTATCTAACTGGAGGCGCGCAGTTATCCAGGCCATCGTTTTTCTCAGCCTCCAGGGGTACGGCCCCCGTGCCATTATCTCGGTGCTCCCATCCGAATCTCTCAAACTCCTCCTGGGACTTGCGCAGCTCAGTAGCCAGCCCCTCCGCCGCCGCCTCCCTAACCGAAGACTCCAGGGAAGTAAGCTCCATGAACAGATGGACGGGGAGGCCGCCGCCATGTGGACTAGGTAGAGCTTGGCCGCCGGCGCCACGCACTGCCAAGGTCTCCGCTTTAGGCTTCGGAGGCTTCTCCCCCTCAGCCGCCACCGAATGCCTCGCCTTGTCCAGCTCCTTCCTCTTCTTCCTCCTCTCCATGGGCTTGACCGACTTCTGCACAGTGGCGGGGGCGCAATCGCCATCGGAGCCATCGCCTGACTCCGACTCCGACAACTCGGCGGAGCGGGAAGTCCTCTTCTTGCCGGCCATCTCTGGAGCTTAGGTTTATGCCGACTCTACGCGCCCCATCTCTTTCTTGTAGGGTTTACCCGCAAGCGAAGAAGACGCATTCTGCAGCGATCCCGTGGGCCGGGAAATACCGATCGCCGGCCGACCCGGTCTTCTCGGCCCGAAATCCCAGAAAGCCTCAATAATAGTCGTCTCTCTCTTTCTCCCATTTTTTTCCTCCTCCAACCGGATAATTTCTTCCCTCTGTTCTAAAGTGCGCCCACAATGTAACGGCCCGGGCCTGATTTTTAAAGGTGTGACCTTGTTTAACTCATTTGGGCCCAAAACTTGAGAAAGCAAGAAGAATACCATATTTTCCTTAATAATCTAACTATTTTCTAATAATGGGCGAATTTCCAAATAATGGTGCAGTCACCGTAAGGCAGCTCTGTCTGTCCCTCTCTCTCTCTCTCTCTCTCTCTCTCTCTCTCTCTCTACGAATTGATCAGCTAGAGCTTGATCAGGTTCCTGGAGCAATACGTACCGAACAAGAACCAGCCGGTGAGCGCAAGGGAGAAGAGAAGCCACCCGATCATGAAGGTGGAGCCGCTGAGCAGGAATCCGAGGAGGAGCAAGACGGGGAACGGCGAAAGGGATCTCAGGAGAGCTCCCCTGTCCACCCAGCGGCCGCCAAGGAAGATCCACGCCGCCAGATTCACCAGATTCCAGTCTTCGCGCCCGCCGTAGGAGAGATGATTCAGACTGTTCGCGACGAAGGAGTGGCAGTTGCAGGTGAAGAGGTTGTACGATCTGTGCTGGAACTCCCGAGTGCTCTTCCTCAGCGCGTCGTCCCAGGAAGAACCGCCCTCCTCCCCCGGTGCGACCTGCAACCAGAAGTCGGAGGAGCTCGGTCGATTACCGTTTCCAGAGAACAGAAGCGGGGAGAGAACGGAGGGGAGGAGGAAGAGGGACCAGCCTTTGATCTGTCCAATGGAAGGTAACGGGCGACCGCCCCGAATGCGAAGTTATCGACGGAGACGAAATTGGGACCGGCGAAGTCGAGGATGACACCGTCTTCTCTGCAGATCCCGACATGGCCGATGAAAGGTATGAGCCAGGAGATGAAAGGCAGAGGCGTCCACACGATGCAACAAGGGAATCGGGCTCGTCCTGAATCGATTGGGCCCAGTGGAATCGTCTTCTGCAGCACAGAGTCTCCTTCGATGTCTCCTTCGCCTTCCATCGGATGTCTCTCCACAAAGACAGGGAATCCAACACAATTCCAGTTGACTGAACACGCATGAATTCAAATTTATGATGAACAGAACCAGTAGAGCAACGATCATTAAACCAAAACAAAAAAGGAGATAAATTCATCAGAATATCGCGGAAAGATGAGACATGTTCAAGAACCAAACCTGGTGGAATGGAAGATGATCAAATAAGGAACACGTCAATGAATTGAAAAACGTTTTGGCTCGTTAGTAACAAAATTCCTTCCAGGAGAGGTAGGTAAACATGGAAGCTCGTAAATGTGGAATATCAGGGATGAATGATTTTCGGAGAATTCTAGGGAGTCAAGTGGTCTGAATCATTGTTTCTTCGAAAATTTATCACAGGTGCGTTTAGTGTAACTTCTCTGCGGGATCTACACTGGAATTTTTTTCTTAGAGATGTGGCTGCAAAGGAATGCGCTAAAAGTTTGATGAAATCAAATCTCCACAGTTAGCAGAAAAGACTATGAACATCTGCCGGGATAGGATAGCAGATCCGAAAAAAAATTATAAATAGGTGTGAGATTGACGATTAACATCTTCCTCGGAGTCGAGTCCTGATCATAAATCGTGTTCTTCTTCGATACAGGAGCATCGATGTTCTCTGATGTCTATTGAGCGAATCTCTGGAGATGAGTAAGCGGAAACCAGAGTATTGCTTGGCGAGCATCGTCGACGCCCTATCGGCAACATACTTCAATGAATTTGCGCAGAAAGTCAGAGGGAAAGAGCCGAGGTCGGTAACCTTTGCGTGCGTAAACAATGCTCTTACCTTAATCACAGGCGATCAGAAAGAGGAAAACCATGGGGGCTCACCGCCAACCCTAGAATCAATGGCTTTCACATAGAATTTGGCTGCAAGCAGATCAGGGAAGAACACATAATGATGATAATCTACAACACCAAGCGGTGTTGATGGCCGGCAATGAACTTTACCTTGGAGTCGGGAAGCGGGCCTACGCGGATCACGTCCCTCCCTTTTCCCGTCGGCGAAACTGAGGAAGAAAATGTGAGTGTAAACAAAGTTACAAAAAATAGGTATAAGTATTCCGCGAGTTAATAGACCGGGCCTAGTGGACCCGCGAAATCCGGGCCGACTGGACCTATGAAGGCAAGGTCTGGGCCAGACCCGCAAATCCATGCGATTGGCGGCGCTTCCGAGAGAGAGAGAAAGAGAGACCCACCACCATATTTTTCCTTCGTAGGGCCACAGTTACGGCCACAATTATAAGAAGTTATCCCTTTCAATTAGCTTAGAAATTTTAATATAAATATATACCCCCAATAACATCATTTGGTAGATGTTTCTACTCATATTCATTCCTTATATTATGGCAAATAATTAATTTAAAGCCCCATATAATCCTCATTTTCTAGTTTAAGTAATGCATTCACATCTAGAACAAGCTCTGGCTTGGAACGCTATAATACATGCAAGGTTCACGTGCGAATGTGTGCCTGTGTGTTCACGTACTGGTTAGCGCCAGGGAGCTATTACCCTTCAGGACCATGCCACTGAAATGACACATGAATCTTGTCTCCTTGCTCAAATTGTAGGTTTCATTTAGTTCAGAACATATGATGTACATAAAATGTTACTCTATATCATAAATCCACAAGAAAAAGCATGCGCATGAAGAAGAATACAGAAAATTTTCGTGTAATTGAATATTTCAAGAATTTTGAGGCATTTAATATTTTAAAACTAAAGGAAAACAATTTCATCTCAGCATTACTATCGACCAACTGCGAAAATAAAAATAGCCCATTCAGTCCAGCTCGGTTCGAACGCCAGTGCAACGCAGAGATCAAGATCCAAACAAATTCACCCGAACTTCCACACCTCCATCAACCTCTGCCACCCTTTTAAATACAAACCTGGGGAGGAGGAGAAAGAGAAAGAGAAAGAGAGAGAGAGAGAGAGAGAGAGAGAGAGAGAGAGAGAGAGAGAGAGAGAGGTCTTCGAGCTATAGCGTCGTCTTGGAGATCAGCATGCGCGGCATGCCAATTCATGCGGCGAAAGTGCGTCTCTACTTCCCTCAGGAGGAGTCGACGAGGTTCTTTAACGTGCACCGGGTCTTCGGGGCCAGCAACGTGGCCAAGATCTTGACCGACCTCCCGCCGGCCAGCTGCCGGGACTCCGGGACCCCCCTCTGCTTCGAGGTTGAGGTGCAGCTCCAGGACCCCATCCACCGGTGCCTACGGCGTCCAGTACCAGCTCCAGGACCCCGTCTACGGCGTCCAGCACCGGCTACAGCAAACGCAGCAGGACATCGCCATGGTCAAGGCAGAGATCCAAGCTCTCGATCTTCACCTTGACCATGGCGATGACCTGCTGCACTTACTGTAGCCGATGTTGTAGCCGATGGCGAACCCCCGTACCATCACCCGCTGCAGATCACGGAGCAGCAGGATGTGCTCCAAGGCGGCGACCAACATCAACACAAACATCAAAATCACTGTCCCAGTCCCCACCAGCAACTCGACACAAAGAGGTACAATGGGGGAATAAGGGACTCTGGAGGGGCCGTCTACGGAGCTAGCTCTGGCTCCGTAGAAATTCCACGACCCGTACATCATCATCCTTACAATCAAGAGGAGCAGCAGAAATAACAACGCCAAGGCCAGTATCAGCAAGAATCATGTCCGAGAGTTTCCTGAGCCATGCTGGGGATTCGTTGTCGCCCACTGGTCACCATTCTTCTCCTCCGACGAAAATACTTTGCGATAAACCTGAATTTTTTTATATTATTACGAGCATGGAATTTTGTAATGATATTTTGATCCTATGAAAGATTTTGAACCAAGGAATAAAAAAATTCTGGGATCATAATCATCTTCTTTGTAATACCCTGATTGCGGTTATGGTTCTGATTAGTATGGTTTCTTTGTCATATTGATTTTACAGCATCAATCATTTCCAACTTTGAAACTCTCCCTATAATAATTACTTGGTGCTGAAATCGCTAATTCTTCCACATCTTGTGCATCATGATCGTCTAGGCATTGATTATGGATCAAAACCATGTTCGTTCAAACTGGTTTGATGCAGACCGATATTTATTTTATAGTTTCATGTTAGTGCCAACGAGGCCTTATTCCCTAGGTTCAGAGAGATGATCAGGATAAAGAATAAGTTAGGAGAGGCAGTACGAACACAAATTAAGATCTAAGAGTTTGTCCTTGAAATTAACTCATGTGGCAAATGCTGGAAAACAAAAATCTATGTACAAGAAGTTACAACATAGATTCACATCCCTAAGAGTAGGATTTATTCTATCGCATTGTATTTGACGTTTATTGATTCATCTTTTTTTGGTTTTATATGAATTATTGTGTTAATGGAATGAAAATATTGATTCATCTCTTTTTTAATAATATTTTTTATACGAAACAGATGTAAGTGTTAATAATCTTTGAACATTTATTAATTCAATGACACCATATCTTAGTGACCTCGCCAACAGAGGTTGAACGTTTGATCAAAATGTGACGCAAAATGCATCAAATCCACAACTGAATGGCAGATGTTTTCTACCTTTTGAGTATCCTACTGTCAAAACATATCTCAGGTTTGACTGTAGTTCATTTGGTTCAGTAGACACAAACTTCCCCGGAGTCTAGCATTTCCAAAGATAACATCCAATAATATTTACCCCTTCAGGGAAATTTTAGGTGAAAAGACCTTCAGTACAGTTTGTGATTGCTACCTAAAAGTGACTCATTTAGGATTTTATCCCGATAATGCATGCTTCAAGGATCATGAAACGCACCCAACCTTCCTTCACACCCTGCAAGCGCAATTGGTCGTCCTTCCATATCATATTCCCGGGGAAACTCTCTTAGCCTTCCTTCTTGGTGATCTCAGACTTAGTTCTTTCGATTCGAAAGCCTCCTCTACCGCAGTTTGGTAAGTAGCATACCCCATGGTTGGTCTGGTTCTTGTGTTGTAACGGCACCCTTCGTTTCGTTTGTTGTGCAGAAGGGATAATATATACCCCAAAGTTATTTTCCTTCTACTTTTGAAGTTTGGAAGAGACTTTCATGTAATTCTAAAGCGTTTCTAGTCCATTATGGTTTATGAATTTTTTTTAATTATTCCTGTCATCTCCCACTTCATTTCCTTGATGTCAACTATTTTTATCCACTTCAACATAAGGATGTTTCTGGGGATGCGTATCAAATGTACCTCGATGAAATTTATGCTTTTTACATACATTCTCTTCTTGAAAGGGTTACCACCTATTAAACCCTCTTTGTAATGCATTGTGTTTGTATTTCACGCAAGTCAATTTGCCTTGCCATGGTAATGAAGTTTTCTTAACCGTTAAATATTCGTGCAATCAAGGTACAATGGACCTTGTTACATGAGCATTAGAATCGTATTAGGTTAACAATTATAAAATTAAGAAATCCACATCTACTGAGCTTGAGCTAAGTGTAGGTTCTCAAATCAAGGAAGATCAAGGGGAACCTTGGAGAAGTAAGGTAGACATGGTCAAGGAAGAGAGGGATTCACTCTCTCCATTCTTTACCACGAAGCAAAAAAGGAAAGGAGAAAATCAATGACAAGGTTATGATCGAATAATTTATCCGCTCCATCAGATGGGTCCGGAATTTGTTCCACTCTAGATTTCACGTCAGGCCCATAATAGGTCGGACAGTTGACTTTTTGCTCTCAGTTTCTTGCACAAGAATTAGCGCACGAAATGATTGGCAAACAACGTTGCCAGGTCAGAAATCGTTCTAGTTAGAAATCTCTATCCCGTCTGAAAACTTTGCTTGAATTTTTTGCTGTCGTCTGAAACAGAGTAGGTAGAACATTTTCAAGGGCAGGTGCTAAAACATACCATGCGATCCGACGAAATCGATTATCTTCAAGGTTCAATGACTTTGTTGAAAACGACATGATGGTGTTTGGGCAGATTCAACATTAACTTATTCCTCGATTTTTCTTTCTAAGCGTGAAGCTCTGGCCAGGACGACGAAGTCGTTTCAATTTCATTTCTTCTCGCTGTCGCACAGAGTCGCGGCAGTCGAGCCTCGTATCTGCTGGCGCGGTCAATTCGTCCCTTTCGTCTTCACCAAGTTGTCGTCATGTTCACCGCAACAATTTTTTACGCCAGGCTGTTCCTGCTCTTAGCGCGAACCACGTCTCAGACGGCGATGGATGAGAGGGAAGGTGGATGGTTCCCCAAGTATTTTCAAAGTGGTAGAAAGGGGTAGAGACTTCACAGAGTTTGACTAGTGGTAGGAATTTCCTTGCATCTTATTTTTTTCAAAGCCCCCAGTGAGAACATAGAGGAAACAGGGACCTGCGTCAGTTTATCGGACTGGATAATGCTGTCTTACTATGATCCCCACGGCGTTCATTAACAGTCAGGCATCATGAAGAATAGGAGTCTTGGCCTAAACTTATCGGGTCTTCGCGTCGCCAGAGGTTAACCTGGGAGGAAGAGCGACTAATCGTAAAATATTTTCGACTTTGCTTCCCATCTTTCTAGACCCGGGCACATACTATCGGCCACCTCTGAGTCTCTCCCGTTCATCAACGTTTCGTAAGGACTCGCATTCACACAGCATTTTTCGGAAATGATTGATGCTGTGAAATCAAAGATGAAAAAGCATACTAATCAGAACCATAACCATAATCACAGTAATACCAAGAAGACGATTATGATCCCGAAAGCCTTTTATTCCTTAGTTCAATATCTGTCCTAGGATCGAAATATCATCCCAAAATACCCTACTGGTAGGAGAAAAATTATTTCACGTTTATCTCAAAGTATTTTCGTCGGAGTAGAACGGTGACGAGTGGGTGACTACCTGCGAACAGGGCTCATAAAACCCTCGGACATGAGTCTTGCTGATGATGGCCGTGGCGTTGTCATTTCCGCGGGTGCTCTTGATGGTAAGGATGATGATGTACGGGGTTCTGGTATTGCTGTGTAGCCAGAGTTAGCTCCGTAGATGGCCCTCCTCCAGAGTCCCTTGTGCCGAGTTGCCGGTGGGGGTTGAAACCGCGACTTTGACGTTCATGTTGGTAGCCTCCGTGGAGCACAACCTGCTGCGACGTGATCTGCGGCGGGTGGTACTGGGGCTCCAGCGCCGTCGGCATCGGCGGCGGCAGGGTTACCCCCTCCAAGCTCGCCTGAAGTTGGAAAGCTTGGATCTCCGCGTTGATCACGGCATTGTTCTGTCGTATTTCCTGTAGCTGGTACTGGATGGTCGGGATGTACCCCAGGCACCCTTGTACGGGGTCCTGGAGCTGCGCCGCGGCCGCCATGCAGATGGAAGTCACGGCGTCCCGGCGGCTGGCCGGGGGGAGGCCGTTCAGGATCTTGGCTACGTTTCTGGCTCCGAACACCTTGTGCACGTTCCGGAATCTCGCCAAATCATCCTCCCGGAAGTATGGCGCGAAGACGCAGCCGGGGACGCACTTCTACTGCAGCAATTTGCACGCGGTGCATGGTGATGTTGAAGACGATGCCATAGCTCAAAGATCTCTCTCTCTCTCTCTCTCTCTCTCTCTCTCTCTCTCTCTCTCTCTCTCTCTCTTTCCGTCCCCACAGGTTATATTTGAAGGGTGGTGGCAAAGGTTGATGGTGTGGAAGTTCGGGTGAGTTTGTTTGGATCTTGATCTCCATTGCACCGGCGACCGAACCGAGCTGGACTGACTGGGCTACTTTGATTTTCGCAGCCGGTCGATAATAAAAATCGCCGCTCCATGCATGCAGTCGCCGACGTGTTTGATTCCAAGAGGTCCCCCTGTTGGCTGGCTTATTCCCCCACACAAAGGGTCCATCTCTCCTTTACGTTTTTTTTAATTTTGGTGAAATATATTGAACTGAACCTACGACTGTGTTAATATCGTCCACATAAAAGGGCTTTGTCCCGTCCATTATGTTCCGAGACGATCAATGACGAACCAGTCTGTAGCAACATATGTCGTGATTGTCTGGTAGTGAGTCAGCGGTTGCGTCAACTAGAGGGACAGTGGTGGATCAAACTACCAAGAAGTGAAGCTGTTGCAAGCATTAGCCTTAACTAAACACCCACGTGGGCCAAGATCCCGGATTCGGACGGAGGATACGAACCGGCGGTCTTCGATTATAAGAAGACAGAATGAGAAGAGAGAAAGGAGAAGATTACGGAAGGAAGACGACCCCCGGAGATCCGCCATCTCGAAGAGGCGACGCCAAGGAGAGCTCTTGCGAGAGTCCTCTGCCCCTCCGTGTTATCTATTACGTTTCGCTACTTCCATCGAACTCTTCAGAGGTCGACGGCTCTGTTGGTGTAACCGGAATCCTCCGAATCAACGGTAATATCAGTGCTCTGTTTTTCATATTCTTGTGCCTCTTCCTCCAAATCCCGTTCACCCAGAATTGGGCACCCATCAGAAGCCCTATATGATCTGATTGTAAAGGGTTCATGTTCTGTTCAATACCATCATACAAGTAAATTAGCATGCATTTAGAGAGTTACTTGCGTGACAATCTGGTATCGGAGCACGGCCCATGGGCATACACGATGGCCTCTGCAGAATATCTGAAGATGGGAACTTTATCACATCCTTTTAATAGTAATCAGTCGTCCGATCTAAATGACTACTA